GCTGGATCTCAGCTCACTGCAAGCTCCGCCCCCTGGGTTCACGCCATTCTCCTGCCTCAGCCTCCTGAGTAGCTGGGACTACAGGCGCCCGCCACCGCACCCGGCTAATTTTTGTTTTTTTTTTTTTTTTTTTGAGACGGAGTCTCGCTCTGTCGCCCAGGCTGGAGTGCAGTGGCCGGATCTCAGCTCACTGCAAGCTCCGCCTCCCAGGTTCACGCCATTCTCCTGCCTCAGCCTCCCGAGTAGCTGGGACCACAGGCGCCTGCCACCTTGCCCGGCTAGTTTTTTGTATTTTTAGTAGAGACGGGGTTTCACCATGTTAGCCAGGATGGTCTCGATCTCCTGACCTCGTGATCCGCCCGTCTCGGCCTCCCAAAGTGCTGGGATTACAGGCTTGAGCCACCGCGCCCGGCCGTGATCCGCCCCGTCTCGGCCTCCCAAAGTGCTGGGATTACAGGCTTGAGCCACCGCGCCCGGCCTGTGGCTTTTTTAGTAGAGACGGGGTTTCACCGTGCTAGCCAGGATGGTCTCGATCTCCTGACCTCGTGATCCGCCCGTCTTGGCCTCCCAAAGTGCTGGGATTACAGGCTTGAGCCACCGCGCCCGGCCCACTTATTTATTTATTTATTTTTAATCCTTTTACTTATTTAATCTGTTAATTATACTACATTGATTTCTCTTTTTCCTCAGGTTTTTTAATACTAAAAAGAGGAAAACGTAGATGGGGATGCAAAGTTTTCTCAGGCCATTCTTACTATATTGGCTCTAGGAAATTCTTCATATAGAGAAGATATCTAGATAGAAGACTCAGGCCCACACAGCAGAGGCCCTTAGGTGTGAGTTAGCTATGGACTGAGATGCAAGGATGAAATGGAAACAGAAGGAGCCAATAGGTTTGGGGGAACATATATCGGGGATTACTGAAAGAAATTTATCAGCATAAAAAAGTAAAATGCGGGGGCTGGGCACGGTGGCTTATGCCTGTAATCCCAGCACTTTGGGAGGTCGAGGCAGGTGGATCACCTAAGGTCAGGAGTTTGAGACCAGCCTGACCAACATGGAGAAACCCCATCTCTACTAAAAATACAAAATTAGCTGGGTGTAGTGGTGCATGCCTGTAATCCCAGCTACTTGGGAGGCTGAGGCAGGAGAGTCGCTTGAACCCGGGAGGCAGGAGAGTCGCTTGAAGTTACGATGAGCCAAGATCGTGCCATTGCACTCCAGCCTGGGCAATGAGAGCAAAACTCCGTCTCAAAAAAAAAAAAAAAAAAAAATGTAAAATGCAGCTGGGGGCAGTGGCTCATGCCTGTAATCCCAACATTTTGGGAGGCCGAGGTGGGTGGATCACCTGAGGTCAGGAGTTTGAGACCAGTCTGGGCAACATGGCGCAAACATTAGCTGGGTGTGGTGGCATGTGCCTATCATCCCAGCTACTCGGGAGGCAGAAGCATGAGAATTGCTTGAACCTGGGAGGCAGAGGCTTCAGTGACCCAAGACTGCACCATTGCACTCCAGCCTGGGCGACAGAGTGAGACTCTGTCTCAAAAAAAACAAAAAAAACAGCAACAAAAAAAGCAAAATACTATCTGGATTTCCATTTTACTCTGCCACTTTGCCTAGCTGAGAGTGAAGTCCCTGATTACAGGTGCACTCTGCAGAAAGACTTTCAGAGGCTGGGGCCAGGCTTGACTTCACTAGCCACTTTGGAGATGGCTCAGAATAGTGACTACTGCCTTTGCACAAAGTGAAGTATGAGGTTGAGTATTTAGAATAGGGGAGTCAGACTCTTCTTATGGAATGTTGAGGTTCCAGCTCAGTTACATCAGGGCAGAGGTCTTTCTGAGACCTTTGAGAGTTTTTTGAGAGAGTTTTTCTGAGTGCTTTTTGATGCTATCTTGTTGATTCAGGTAAACCCAAATTTACTGATCACTCTAGGCACAGCTTGTGCCAGGCACTAAAGGAGGACAGCAATGCATCTGATATTGTCCCTGTTTTTAAGGAACATAGATTATAGTGTGGAACCAGGTGTGGTAGCTCACCTTTGCCCTGGTGTAACTGAGCTGGGACCTTTGCCCTAGTGTAACTGAGCTGGACTCTCAGCATTCCATAAGAAGAGTCTTTGGGAAGTTGAGGCAGGGGGATTGCTTGAGCCCAGGAGTTCAACACCAGCCTGGGCAATATAGCGAGACCCTCATCTCTACAATAAGTAAGTAAATAAATAAATAAAAAGTCAGGCATGGTGGCATGCGCCTGTAGTCTCAGCAACTCAGGAGACTGAGGTGGGAGAATTACTTGCGCCTGAGAGGTGGAGACTGCAGAGTCCAGATTGTGCAACTGCACTACAGCCTGGGCAACAGAGTAAGACCCTGTCCCAAAAAAAGAATATAGTGTGAGAGGCAAGTAATGATTATGATAGCAGCTGATACCTTCCTTGCATTCTTTTTAGGCAGTGTTCTAAAGTGTTTTTGTTTTGTTTTTGGAGATGGAGTCTTGCTTTGTCACCTAGGCTGGAGTGCAGTGGCGCGATCTCAGCTCACTGCAACCTCTGCCTCCTGGGTTCAAGCGATTCTTGTGCCTCAGCCTCCCGAGGAGCTGGGACTACAGGCGTGTGCCATTACGCTCAGCTAATTTTTGTATTTTTAGGAGAGATGGGTTTTCACTATGTTGGCCAGGCTGGTCTTGAACTCCTGACCTCAGGTGATCTGCCCGCCTCAGTCTCCCAAAGTGCTGAGATTACAGGCATGAACCACTGCGCCCAGCCACTAAAGTGGTTTTATGTATTAACTCATTTCATCTTCACAACAGCTGAATGAGGTAGGTACTATTACCACTGCCATTTTACAGAGGAGGAAATTGAGACACGGAGAAGTTAAATAATGGGCCTAATGTTACATGTCTAGTAAATGCAGGGACAGTATTGAAACCAAGACAGTCTGGCTCCAGAGTCTTTGTTCTTCACCTCTACTTTGTATGTAGGGGAGTAATTTGTCAGCATCATCAGCCTTATCTGGAAACTTGTTAGAAATGCACATTTTTGGGTCCCACCCAACACCTACTGAATCGAAAACTCTGGAGGCAGGGCTTACCAATCCAAGTTTTGCTTTTTTTTTTTTTTTTTTTTTTTTTTTGAGACAGAGTTTAACTCTTGTTGCCCGGGCTGGAGTACAATGGCATGATCTCAGCTCACTGCAACCTCCCCCTCCCTGGTTCAAGTGATTCTCCTGCCTTAGCCTCTGGAGTAGCTGGGATTACAGGTGTCTGCCACAACACCCGGCTAATTTTTTATATTTTTAGTAGAGACGAGATTTCACCGTGTTGGCCAGGCTGGTCTTGAACTTCTGACCTCAGGTGATCCACCCGCCTCAGTCTGCCAAAGTGCTGGGGTTACAGGCGTGAGCCACTGCACCCAGCCACCAATCCAAGTTTTAACAAGCTTTCCAGGAGATTCTGATGGTTGCTGTTTGAGAACCTCTAGAAGCAAGGCATGGTATAAGTGTCAGAAATTAATCTCCTCATGAATAAGGACTGGTTATGGTCCGCCCCTTAAGTTCCCAGCCTCTGCATGGCATCTAGTGTAAAGCAGGCATCAAAAATTTGTGTGAGTTTATGGGAAAGTGGTGTTTGAGCTGGGTCTCTTACCCCACCTATCACTGCACCAGACTGAATAGGAGGGAGAATGGGATTTCCCAGAAACTTTGATACTAGCAAGGAAGTGGTTATGATACTTCTGGCAAGATATGATAAGGGTCTGCATCAGCATAAGAAACCATCAGAATGGCATCGAATCATGTGAGAGCAGTTCAGAAGGTAAACATGTCCAGACGTGGTGAACAGCTGAATAGAGGGAAAGAACAAGGGATAGAGGAACTGTCATTTCTGACATGAAGGTGCTATTCATTGAGATAGGAAGCACAGGGCAAGTATGTTTGTGAGTAAAAGATAAAGTATTTGGTTGGACTTCTTAAATTTGAAGTTCTGGTAGGATATCCAGGTGGAGCTGTCCAGCAGACACGTGGAAATGTGAGTCTGAGACATGGTTGGAAATAGAGATTTGGAGGGATAGTTGGGCCGTAAGAGTGGATGAGACCTTCAAGGGGAGAGTGGAATGAGAAGAGAGCTGGGTTTGGAACCACAGTGAACAGTTAACGAGGCAAAAACAAAAGGGGCCCTTTAAAAGACTGAAAAGGACTTAGGCAATAGGAGACTGCAGAAGATGCCGCAGCCAAGTGGAAGGCTCAGAAGGGAAGTAGAGGCACAGTGACAGATGCTGCAGAAAAATAATCGAAAAGTATCGTTTGGATTTCAACCCCGAAAGTCATTTAAGTGACGTGGTGAGAGCAGAAGCAGATTGACAAGAGTTCAGGCATGAGCTGTAGATGAGAAAGTGGAGGCAGGTACTTCCCAGGTCCGGTGGACAGAGCTCTGTAGCTGTACTTAAGTTAAAACTGTGACATCTTCCAGGGTAGGCAGGGTCTCTACTTATCTGTGGTCTCAGCATCCAGCCCACGGCCTGGAAGAGGGGGTGGCGTCAATGAGTTCAGTGACTAGGGACGGAGAAAGACTTCGCGGAGGCAGTCGCTTTGCGGCCAAGGCTTGAAGGATGAGGGTGATTGGGAGGAGAGGTGGGAGGCGAGGTGGGAGGCAGGGCCCCTGGGCGCTGGAGTGCCGGGGGTCTGGGAATGAGGTGGGGTTCCCATAATGTGCGCGCGGCTCGGTGCGACAGGCGGGGGCTGTGTGTAGGTTTGGAGGGACCTATTTGGGGAAAAGACAGGGCGGAAGGCAGCTGTGGCGGGGTGTCCCTTCGCCCTGCCCCACTTATGCCACTGCGCGGTTCCAAGGCACCGTTATCGGAGCCCTCCCGCCGGGCTGCATGACAACGGGTGACCGCCAGGGGCCGCTGTCTCGGGTCCCCGGTGCCCCCGCCCCTCTCCATTGGCCTTTGTTGCCGTCTGAGCGCCCCGCTTGACTCGTTCCGGTCCGCCCCCTGGGCCTGGCGGTCGCGCCTGCGCACTGGCAGCTGGCCGGGCGCTCGCAGGGGGAGCTGCTGCAGGCTCCGCGGCGGCGGCGGCGGCGGCGGCGGCGGCAACGGAGGGTGCGGGGGCGGCGGCGCGAGCGGCCGGGCTTGGTAGGGGAGCCGAGCCCGGCCCGGGAACCCGAGCAGCGAGAGTGCGGGGTACCTAGGCCCCTCACGCTGGACTTCACAGTCTCCGGGCCGCCTGACCTCCGCACGGGTATATGGGATGGAAGCGGGACCCTCGGGAGCAGGTAAGGGCCCCCCGGAGGGGGAACGGTGCATGCTCCAAGGACTGGGGACTCCCGCATGAAAAGCGTGGTTTCCAAGTGAGGGAAGCGCTCCTGAGTGAGGAGAAGGGCTCTCCCACGATGGGGGCCCAGTTTGAAGGAGGCTGTGTGCAGTTCCGGGGGAGAACCATGTGAAGAGAGCCCTGAGATGGGGGCTGTTTGTCCAAGGAGGCTGTATGCAGTCCTGCAGGTTGGAAGTAATCTGGGAGAAGGGCCTGCACGCACGGAAGGACTCCCAGACGTCCGTGGAGGCCTACGGAGAGGCCCGGCAGGTGGCAGGGGACGGGCTCCAGGTGTCCAGGAGAGGAGGGGGCGACACAGATGGGCCTGGAGCTACCGCATGCCGGGGGCGGGGGCTCCGCTGGGCTGGAATAAGCTAATGTCCCTTGGGAGAAGGCGCCAGAACTGGACTGTGAGCTCCGCCCCACCGGGCCTGACGCGAGGGCGAGGGTCAGGGGGCGGTGGGTGGGGACCCAGTCCCGGGATTCCCCCCGTGGGTCTGGGGAGTCGGAGTGGAGGCTCCGGAGCATGCGCGGAGGTGGCAGCTGGCAGGGGCTGCCCGACGTGGTGGGGGCGTGGCCGTCCAAATACCCCCACCTCTCTTCGCCCCCCCCCCCCCCCCCCCGCGTTTGGCTTGGAAAAAGGAGCGTGCTGATGGGGTGCATTCTCTTTTAGGTTATGCTGGCAGAGTGCAAATGGTTATGGTCCCCGCCCCCATTTTAGGGGCTCTTACACTTGGCCCTCAGTAACAGTTTGCCAAGCATGGGTTGAGGGAAGCTGCCAAAGTGCATTTTTCTGCCACAGGAAAGACTGGGACTGAAGCAATGGGTTCTGGGGGTGGGTCCTCCTAAAGATAGGCCTTAGGAAAGGTATTGGTTACGGAGGAATAAAGGACAGGGCAGACAGGGGCTACCTGGAAGGAGTTGTCTGCTTGGTTTGCAAGTTTCTGCTCCAATACTGAGTAGAGATGGGGGCTTTTAATCCAAAGATAATGACCTTTTCCATTGAATTGTCTGTTAAGGTTACACTCTACAGTTATAACATTTATTCTAATATTTCTTAATATTTTCATGGCTCCTATCTTCCACTGGATATCTTTCCGTTTTCCTCTCCCTGCTTCCCAGAAACTGTCAGGGCTGTCTTTAGAGCCAAGATCTAAACCCTACAAACAAGTTGGAGGATGGGGGAGTTTATAGCCTTCACCCTGGTGAGGCGCAGGTGATAGCCTTAACTTCTTATTTGCAGGTAATGAGGAGAAAAAGACATAGGAACAGAGGATAAACTGAGGCAGGATTGCCTTAAGAAAACTGGAGTCCTCAGGATGGGCTGTGGGATGGTGATAGCTCTTGTGTCTTAAGTGTCTTACCCTGTGATGGGACGAGGAGCCTGGACCTGGGAATCCTTCAGGTCATCTCTCACCACTTCCTTACATTTGGTCTGGGAATGGGAATCAAATTTCCATTTGGGACATGAACTTTATTACTTTCCTAATGGAAATTATTTTGTTTTTTTTTTGTAGCAGACCTAACTCCCTCCCACTCTCTCGAGGAAATAGCTCCTACCACCTCACTCAAGTTATCCATTTAGTGATCTATAAGTACTTAGTGACTGTTTTCCCCCTAATAACCAACCTTGTATAGGTTGTGTAGTCCCAAGGATAAGCGCAGGGAGCAACTGACTTTTGTACTTCCTCTCTGTCAGGCCCCTCTCTCCATCCCAGGCACTCCTGTTTTTCAAGGCTGGGGACTATTTCCAACAACCCATGAACTAGAGTAGTGGGGTAGGTCATTGAGGTCCACATGGATTGCTGGTTGCTGGTACCCATTCTAGACTAACGATTTTTATCCCGATGAATTCCTAATAGGCTCTGGAGTGATGAAAAATTGACTTTTTAAAAATTTGTTACAAAAAATAAGCTTCTAGGAAAGGAGCTAGAACCTGCTGTTTGGAGTCAGCCATAGCCTTAGGAAAAGCCTAGTGGGACAGGTTTTGCCTCAGAAAAGGGTATAATTGAGATTCAGTCTGGAAGCTGCAGATTGAGGGACCCCATAACTGCCTCCTTCCTAGGCCCGGACTGTTCTCTTGTAGGAAGTTAGAGTGGTGTCCCAAGGTGGCCTGAGGACATAATACACGACACTAAAGTGTTGTGTAAAAAACGAACAAACAAACAAACAAAAAGCCCAAAAAACTAAAGCATTGTTGCTAGCCTCACTGGGCTTATGCCCAGGTCTGCCTTCTGTGCTCAGGTGTGTTCCAAGCACATACACTAGACTAGGTGCTCCCTGAAGGTAGAAGCAGTGTCTGGTTTATTTGTAGAACTAGCAAGTGCCTAGTGTATAGGCCCTGGCACAGAATACATGTTTATTAATTAAATCACATTCAAATGTGAACATAAATGGTTAAGCACATATATGGATATTTAATAAAGTGTATATTCACATGGAACAGATCCTTTTTGGAGAGATTGGCCTGTTAGTCTTTGCTTGCCCACCAGCTAACCTAACCTAACCTAACCTAACCTTGAATTTGTGTCTTTTGAATATGCAGTCTGGCTCCTTGGGAGGTGTGTGGGCCTCAGAACTGCAGGAAAGGAATCCTGAGCCAGGGCTTTCAGCTCTGTTACTTTTCCTTCTCTGGGCTCCTTGGGGATGGGGGAGGGGGAGTGTCCTTTTCAGGGCCCCTCCCTCCTTGCTTTTGTCTGAAGAGAAGGGCCCCGCCCCTTTCCCCCTAGGCCCAAGCTTTGTCCTCTGTGCTGGGGCCCTCATCTGCATCACAAAGTGGCCGTCTGTCCCTGTCTGGGTCTGTAGGGAAGTGTCTCCCTTTCTCAGACTAAAAGCTGGGGTAAGGGGGGCGGGGAGAAGACTGTGCTGTTGTTAGGCTTTCAGGGGGATGGAATGGGAGAGAGGTTCCTGCTTGCTGCTGTCTTTCCTAGTTTGAAGATGAAGTGGGGGTGCGGGCTCCCCTGTTTTCCCAAAGCTTCTTTGGAGAGGATGGTGCTCTAAGGCTATGTCTGGTATGTAGTCGGGTTTCTGGGGAAGAGAAGGCTTTGAGGCTGAGTGTCTGTCCCATCCCCCATCATTTCTAACTAGCCCCCCAGCTCTAGGGGTTATCTTTCTCCCAAGGCCCCAAATGATTATTCAGTCTGGGAGGGGAAGAAGGTGAATGCAATATAAGAACTTGGGGAGGGAAAGGATGTCTCTTACTGGCTACACCCACAACTGTGCATGTTTGTCTTGTGTAGTGTTTATAATTGTTTCTGGGCAATTACAGGTGTTTGTGTGTTTGTGTGCTGTGTGTGCTTGTGTGTTTTTGTGGTGTGTCTATGGATATGTTTGTTCATTCATTTCATATCGGTGTGTTGAATACTTCCTGTGTGTTTGCCAGACACTGGAGATTAAGCAGTGACCAAGGCAGATATAGTCCCTGCCTTTGAATAACTCAGTCTAGGGTAGTGAAGGATATGTATATGAGTGTAAATTGCCAAGGTCTAAGTGTGTGTTTGGATGTGTGTGATGGGAATGTGTGTCTGTCTGTCCGTGAGCTTGTGTGCAATTTCTGTCCACCACTTTCTGAGGCAGGTAGCCAGGTGCTAGTAGATAGGTTTTCACTTCCCCATGTAGCTGAGTTCTGAAGACCTTTTCCATCCAGGCTGGGCCTTCATTTCCCTGTCTGTAGAGTGGGACTGGGCTTGATAGGTGGTTAGAGGGAAACAGAGCAACTTAGCTCTGGGAAGCTACCCCTCCCATGAATGGTTCTGACCTCTTCCTGACCCCCAGCTGAGGATATGCCCCATCCCCCAAGCTTGTCTGACTGTGAAAGCAGAGGTCTGGTAATGGGAGGTTCTGGGCTGGTTTATCCCTCTCTTCTCTCACCTGGGCTGGTTCTCTACTGCCAAGAACAATAGTAGCATATTATTCCCTTTTTTTCTCTCTTCCCCCAAAGCTAGAAAATAAGACTGGAGGCAGCAGCCAGACTGGCAAAAGAGGGTAAAGTAGCTGGATCTGGCCCTACCCTATCCCTTTCCCAAGGGCCCCCTCTGTCTTGAAATTTATCTCTGCTTCTGCTGTCTGGACCTTCTGTGTGGAAGGATCTGTGGGGCATGGAGAGAATCTTGTGTTCTTCCTGGAGCCAGTATCTCTTCTCTAGCATTCTAATTGCCATCTCTTCCTCTCAAACCTGTTAGTTCTTTCTTTATTCAAGCTTTTTTTTTTTTTTAATATCATTGCCTCCCCAATTGCCGCTTTGTTTCTTCCTGTCTGCCCCACCCCTTGACTCCAGCCTTCTCTCCTTCTCCTTGCCTTTTTCTATTTTGTGACCTCCAGCTCTGTCCTGTTCTCCATCCCCCTTTCTCTTTTCCTTAGTCTCCAAACTATCCTTTGAGCCTTTTCTCCTTTTCCCTCTCTCCAACTCTCACCATTCAGTTGCCCTAATCCTGCCTCAAACACTGACCCTGCCCTCCCCAACCTGGCCTTCTCTGGATCTTCTTCCTGCCCACCTATAAAGGAACATAAAGGTTATGCCATTTTGTATTCAGCATGGTGATGAATGGAGTGAGCATCTGGCTGGCAGAGAATAGAAATTCTTGGTCTGCTAGATACCTGGTGAAGGCAAGTGTCTTACTCTAGTAGAAGAAAGAAAGGGTTTTGTTACTAGGAGCCAGATTTAGTCTCTCTGCTTAACATGCAATAGGAACTTATTATATATTAACTTAATGAATTTAAAGTAGACAATAAGGATAATTTTCCTAACTGGAGAGAGATTTAAAAAAACCAGAAAACAAAAACAAAAACACAGATGAGCTTGAGATGTCCCCTGGAAGCCCTCAGCTGGGTTGGGTAGCAGGAAAGAGGCATTCTCTATACTCTCATGTTCCTGTTCTGGGAGGCCTTGTTCCTTCTCTGATAAGAGTAGTTAGGAGATTACCAAACTTTACCCTCACCAGCCTCTTTGTCTCGTAGCTGCGGGCGCTTACCTGCCCCCCCTGCAGCAGGTGTTCCAGGCACCTCGCCGGCCTGGCATTGGCACTGTGGGGAAACCAATCAAGCTCCTGGCCAATTACTTTGAGGTGGACATCCCTAAGATCGACGTGTACCACTACGAGGTGGACATCAAGCCGGATAAGTGTCCCCGTAGAGTCAACCGGTAAGTGATGTACACCTAAGCTACCAAATCTGAAAGACACCAACCTTGAAAGAGGGGCCAGAAAGGTAAAAGAAAAACCAGTAAAGGGTAGTATCACCAAATCTAAGGAAGTTTTTGAGAAGGAGATGCCAAGTAGGATAAATGCTGAAAAATAGTCCAATTGGACTTCGCTATTAGAAGATTATTAGTGACTTGGCAGAGCAATTTCAGCAGAAAGTAGTTGAGCTAGTTAATCTAACTAATTGAGTTAAGAAATAAGTACAGTGCCTACTACATTTCAATATTAGTTGAATGAATAAAGAGTTTTAAAGAATGAGATATGGGTATGTTTACAGATTAAGGAGAAGGAGATAGTAAAGATGAAGTTAAAAGTTTGGGATAGAGGGGAGAAATTAATGGGATGTCCTTGATGAGGCCGAAGGACATTGTAGGATGCACAGTTGGAGGGATTAGCTCTATTTAGAGGAAGTGATATTTCCTCTTTTTTTTTTGATGTGGAGTTTTGCTCTTGTTGCCCAGGCTGGAGTGCAATGGCGCTATTTTAGCTCAATGCAAACTCCGTCTCCCAGTTTAAGCGATTCTCCTGGCTCAGCCTCCTGAGTAGCTGGGATTACAGGCATCTGTCAACATGCCCGGCTATTTTTTTTGTATTTTTAGTAGAGACGGGTTTCACCATGTTGGCCAGGCTGGTCTTGAACTCCTGACCCCAGGTGATCTGCCCGCTTCGGCTTCCCAAAGTGCTGGGATTACAGGCGTGAGCCACCGTGCCTGGCCTCTGCGATATTTCTTTAATTAATTAATTTTATTATTGAAAACTATATGTATAATATAAAAAAATTCAAGTATCACAAAAAGATAGTAGTGAAAAATATCTCCTTACTATCCTGGTCTCTAGTCCCCCAGTACCATTAATTGTTACCTTTTTTTTTTTTTTTTTTTGAGACAGAGCCTCCTTCAGGCTCTGTCAGGCTGGTGTGCAGTGGCGCCATCTCAGATCACTGCACTCTCTGCCTCCTAGGTTCAGGCAGTTCTCGTGCCTCTGCCTGCCAAGTAGCTGGGATGACAGGCAAATGATTCTCCTGCCTCAGCCTCCTGAGTAGCTGGGACTATAGGTGCCCCCCATCACATAATTTATTGGTGTTTTTAGTAGAGACAGAGTTTCACCATGTTGGCCAGGCTGGTTTCAAACTCCTGACCTCAAGTGATCTGCCTACCTATGCCTCCCAAAGTATTGGGATTACAAGCGTGAGCCACCATACCTGACCAATTGTTACCATTCTGTTTTTTTTGAGACGGAGTTTCACTCTGTCATCCAGGCCAGAGTGCAGTGGCGTGATCTCAACTCACTGCAACCTCTGCCTCCCGGGTTCAAGCGATTCTCCTGCCTCAGCCTCCCAAGTAGCTGGGATTACAGGCACCCGCCACCACGCCTGGCTAATTTTTAAATTTTTAGTAGAGACAGGGTTTCACTATGTTGGCTGGGCTGGTCTCAAACTCCTGACCTCAAGCAGTCCGCCCGCCTCAGCCTTCCAAAGTACTGGGATTACAGGCATGAGCCACCGTGCCCGGCCAATTGTTACCATTCTTGAATATGCTTCCGTATACTATTCTATACATGTGCAGGCATATATGCACATATAACATTTTTAAACACTCAAAACAGGGTTCTTTATACATTGTTCTGTACTTTGTGTTTTTCCACTGAACAATGTATTTTTGAAGGTATTACATACCAGCACATATGGATCTGCCTCATTCTTTTGCATAGGTTGAGTGGCTGTGATATAACTTATATAATAAATCTATTGAGGAACATTTGAGTCTAAATTCTGCTACAAAAATGAAACTTGAATATTATTATATATAGATTCATTTTTGCACTCAAATATGAGTGTATTTGTAGGATAAATTGCTAGGAGTGGGACTGTTGGCCTAATACATTTCAGAGTTTTCAGATATTGCAACTTGTTTTTCAAGGTAAGTTGTACCAACTATACTCCCATCAATAAGGCATCAGAGTGTCTCTTCCTATACCTGCACCAATTTGATATTTGAGATTTTTTTGATCTTTGGCATCCTGATCTTGGTCTAATTTTAAATTGTATTTTTCTAATAAGTGAAGTTGAATATATTTTCATATGTTTAAAAATAATACATGGAAGGGTCATTTTGAGTGTAAGAGGAAAGGAGAAAAATTGATGCACGCACATACTAATATGTTTATGTATATGTCTGGTAACTCGAGGGTGGCCTTGTGTACTATCCTCCGCCTTTTTTAAAGATATTAGAGCTGCTTCCTGATAGGAGACAGGAATGGGTTCTGGAGTTACAGGCTAGTAGAGAAAGTTCTACATAGTCTACATAGAGTAGGAGGGATGGAAGTAATCAGGGACATGAAAAAGATTGCTAGGCAGCACTGAAGCCTAATTGGGATTGAAACCATATGATCACAGTTGCTTCTAATGTACCATTTGTGTTATCCAGTAGTATTCAAGAACTTTGATTTAGAAAGTGTGAAGGTCAGTTGGTTAGATAAACTGGAATTTTGAAGGAATAATGGACACCGTGGGGTCTAAGTTTCAGAGGACAGGAAGTAAGAGATGGTAATGGAGAAAAAACAGGGTGGTCAGACTAAGTGCTTCAGAGAGATGGAAGAGATGAGATTTTTCTTCCACAGTTTATTCTTATTCCAGTTCACATCTCTTCTACCTTTTTTGCTTATCAGATCTGGGATTCGAGATTGGAGCAGCCTAGATTCTGTTCCTGATTTGTTTTTTGTTTTGTTTTAATTTTTTTTGAGACAAGATCTGGCTCTGTCGCCCAGACTGGAGTGCAGTGACATGATCTCAGCTCACTGCAACCTCTGCCTCTCAGGCTCAAGTGATCCTCCCACTTCAGCCTCCTGAGCAGCTGGGGCTATAGGCACACACCACCATGCCTGACTAATTTTTGCATTTTTTGTTTTTTTTTTTTTTTTTGAGACGGAGTCTTGCTCTGTCGCCCAGGCTGGAGTGCAGTGGCCAGATCTCGGCTCACTGCAAGCTCCGCCCCCGGGTTCACGCCATTCTCCTGCCTCGGCCTCCCAAGTAGCTGGGACTACAGGCGCCCACCACCATGCCCGGCTAGTTTTTTGTATTTTTTTAGTAGAGACGGGGTTTCACGGTGTTAGCCAGGATGGTCTCGATCTCCTGACCTTGTGATCCGCCCGCCTCGGCCTCCCAAAGTGCTGGGATTACAGGCTTGAGCCACCGCGCCTGGCCATTTTTGCATTTTTTGTAGAGACGGAATTTCTCTATGTTGCCCTGGCTGGTCTCAACCTCGGGAGCTCAAGCGAAAGTGCTGGGATTAAAGGCATGATCCACTGCACCTGGCTGTTCTTTTTTTTTTCTTCTTTTTGAGACAAGCTCTTACTGTGTTCCCCAGTCTGGAGCGCAGTAGTGTAATTATAGCTCACTGTAACCCCAAACTCCCAGCCTCAGGTGATCCTCCTGTCTCAACCTCCCAAGCAACTGGGAATATAGGCCCATGCTACCATACCCAGCTAACTAAAAAAAAATTTTTTTTTTTTTTGGTAGAAAATGGGGTCTCACTCTGTTGCCTAAGCTAGCCTTGAGCTCCTAGGCTCAAGTGATCCTCCTGCCTCGGCTGCCCAAAGTACTGGGATTACAGGTGTCAGCCACCATACCTAGCCCTATTCCTGATTCCTGATAGACCCTGGAGTCAAGCTTTTCTCCCTTTAGCCTCCCCCTCAGAAGGCACTCACACCACTCTTTCAGGTCCGTTGGAGCCTTGGTGGTCTGAGGACCAGCAGTGTCACTTGGGAGCATGTTAGAAATGCAGAATTTCAGGCTTCACTCTAGACCTGCTGAATCCGAAGCTACATTTTAATAAAATCTCCAGGTGATTCATAGGAAAGTTAAAGTTTGAGAAGCACTGTCATAGAGTAGATGTTAGGAGTGAGTATAATAGATGGGACATTGCCTGGACTTTGAATTACTTCCAAAAGCTTGAAGTGGTGGTAGTCTCTCAGCTTCCACAGGCCACTCCTATCCCCCACAGGGAAGTGGTGGAATACATGGTCCAGCATTTCAAGCCTCAGATCTTTGGTGATCGCAAGCCTGTGTATGATGGAAAGAAGAACATTTACACTGTCACAGCACTGCCCATTGGCAACGAACGGGTAAGGTTGGGAGTCAGGCTAGGCCTGTGTCAGGGGTCGGGGGTAGAACCAAGCTCGTGTAAGCCTCTTTGGAGTCTGGTGATCCAGAGATCCTTTTCACCTTTTGTGCTGAGAAAGTATTTTTTAGGGTGAGGGGTGGGTAGGTGCTGATGTTTATTTAGTCTCATGTGCCTGTCCGTGTCCTAAACAGATTGAGATTAGACTTAAAATAGACCTAAAGGACTTTCTGCTAGGCTGAGAGGTAGTTGAGAGGAAGAGAAGCACTGAGCCAAGGTGGCTAGAACCTAAGGGGCTGGACTTACTTTGGGGTCTTCATTATGAGCCCCTGTCAACTTGAGGAACATATTCTCAGCAAATCCATGGAGTCGGGGGTCATTCTCGCAGAGCAATGGCAATCCTTCACTCCTTTCTCTCACCCTCCTGAAGGTCGACTTTGAGGTGACAATCCCTGGGGAAGGGAAGGATCGAATCTTTAAGGTCTCCATCAAGTGGCTAGCCATTGTGAGCTGGCGAATGCTGCATGAGGCCCTGGTCAGCGGCCAGATCCCTGTTCCCTTGGAGTCTGTGCAAGCCCTGGATGTGGCCATGAGGCACCTGGCATCCATGAGGTATTGGGTGTAGTTAGTATCTGGGCTACTAGTGTTGGCAGAACTGCTGTCAGGGGAGGAGGGGGGGCACATATTAAGGTCCCACAGTGTGCCATTCAAAAAAAAAAATTATTTGAAGCCCTACCACTCGCCAGGCAAGTGTGTATTTATATTTAGATGGTTTAAAGCCCTGGCCCTGAACTTCTTAGATATCTTTGGGCCTCATCCCATCTGTCCCTGCAGGGCAGAGAGAAGGTAGAAACTTGCACAAGGTCAGTCATACAACTAGTAAAGCATCAGAGCTGGCATTAAAGCCCCGGTGTCCTGCCTTTCAGGCCAGGGCTCCTCCGTGCCCAGGATGCCTCACAGGGTGGGGGCCTGTGCCCGAGGGACCAGTTCTCTGCCTGTCCCTGCCAGGTACACCCCTGTGGGCCGCTCCTTCTTCTCACCGCCTGAGGGCTACTACCACCCGCTGGGGGGTGGGCGCGAGGTCTGGTTCGGCTTTCACCAGTCTGTGCGCCCTGCCATGTGGAAGATGATGCTCAACATTGATGGTGAGTGGGGAGAGCTATGGAGCTAGGGGCACCCCAAGTCCAGTGACCACACTCCCAGCCTCATCCCTCCCAGCTCTGCAACCACACTCCTAGTCTAATTCCTACAGCCCTGGCTCCCCCTTCCCCTATCCCAGTGCCCTATAAGGAAGAGGGTATAAATTGCTGTACCTCCATGTATTGTGGAAGACAGAACCTGAGCTGAGCTATCTTTACCCTGTCCCCACAGTCTCAGCCACTGCCTTCTATAAGGCACAGCCAGTGATTGAGTTCATGTGTGAGGTGCTGGACATCAGGAACATAGATGAGCAGCCCAAGCCCCTCACGGACTCTCAGCGCGTTCGCTTCACCAAGGAGATCAAGGGTGAGGACCCAACAGGAGGGGAAGGGAAACAGCTCCACTTGAGCCGTAAGAGGAAATCCCCTTGGGGTATGCTCAGGGGAGAAGCCAAGGCTGGGCACCTGAGCAACCTATTTCAGCCCTGACAAGCAGTGTGTGTATCTCAGGCCTGAAGGTGGAAGTCACCCACTGTGGACAGATGAAGAGGAAATACCGCGTGTGTAATGTTACCCGTCGCCCTGCTAGCCATCAGACGTAAGTTGGCAGGGGTGCTGAGTCATACTTTGTTGGTGGAGAAGGGCTGAGATTTAAAACTCACTATCTTTCCCTCCCTCCTTCCCCCACTGGCCTTGAGAATGAGCCTTGGGTACTGGCCCTGTTTTTGAAGATAAGCTGTGGGAATTTGGCATCCTTTCTCAATCTTCTCTGATCTGTTGATACTCTGCCTACCGTTTTTACCTTCTTGATCTCCTTGCCTCTTTGGTCCTTTACTTTAGAGCAAGTGTGTTCTCTGATTCCTGTTAGGGTTAGGTAAATGTTAGAATCTCTCTCAAATTATTATTTCTCTTGAAAAAAGAAAGCTAGGCTCCTGGGCTCCTTGGGGAAGCTGTCATTGATTCTATTCCCATTCTTGACCTTAGGCTACACTATATTATGAGTGTCTACTCTGTGTCAGGCTTTATGCTCAATATTGGAAATAAATGAGTCAGATAGTATCCTGACTTTTGTGGAACTTGCCCTTCAAACCTTTGGCTTCTTTCTTGGAGCCCTGTATGTCCTGTTTTCCCATGAGTGGCGATGCTCAAAGAAGTTGGATAGGATGAAGCAAAGTCTGGGACTTCCTTCCTGCACATCATATTGGGGCCAAATAAAAAAGGAAAAAGTGTGGGACTTCCCATGGTTGTGGGTCTAGAGAAGTGGGACTGAATGCTGGGTTATGACACCCCCTTCCTTCCCTTCTTCTGAACAGATTCCCCTTACAGCTGGAGAGTGGACAGACTGTGGAGTGCACAGTGGCACAATATTTCAAGCAGAAATATAACCTTCAGCTCAAGTATCCCCATCTGCCCTGCCTACAAGTTGGCCAGGAACAAAAGCATACCTACCTTCCCCTAGAGGTGAGATTGCCAAGTAATGGCTGAGGAATAGGCATTGTATATATCTGCATGCTGCTCATCAGGTGTCTCTTCTTTGAAGTTTGGAAAATTGACATTCTGAGAAGGTATGAGGTAGTTCTCCTGTGAAATAGAGGCCCCATTCTTACCTGCTAAGTTGTTTCCTTATCCCCCATCCTACTCTCATGTTCTTTCAGGGCTGCCAGGCAGAGACAAGCTGAATTTACTGTTTAATAAGTAATTAGTTCGTACAGGACAGAGATTTTAGATACCCGCACTCACTCATGTTCTCTTAATTTCTCTTCCCCTGGTCTTTAGAGCTGGGAACCTAAGTGACCTGAAGATATAAGTGTAGTTTATTCTATACAAACGGGTGATAAATATTACCTATAATGTAAATCATGTTTCTCCAATGATTAGTGTGTTCATTTTGAAAAAATTTTAGCCCCAAGATTTGTCATACTTTTATATAACAGTAGACCTTTGGAATTCTGCAACTGGAGAAGGAATAGTAACGCTAAGTTATAGAATACAAATACAGAGTCACTGGGCTGTATTTTGTTTGGTATATACTAGCCAAAATATTGAATGAGAAACTACTGCCTACTGCTTCATTGTCTCATCCAGTGCTACTCAAAAAGTGTGGTCATGTGTACCAACAGGATAGGCATTACCTGAGAGCTTACTTAAAATGCAGATTTCAGGTTCCACCCATACCGACTGAATCAGAATCTTTTTTTTTTTTTTTTTGAGATGGAATTTTGTTCTTGTTGCCCAGGCTGAAGTGTGATGGCATGATGTTGGCTCACCGCAACCTCCGCCTCCCGGATTTCAGCGATTCTCCTGCCTCAGCCTCTTGAGTAGCTGGGATTACAGGCATGCGCCACCACACCCGGCTAATTTTATATTTTTAGTAGAGACGGGTTTTTCCATGTTGGTCAGGCTAGTCTCGAACTCCTGACCTCAAGTAATCTGCCCGCCATGGCCTCCCAAAGTGCTGGGGTTACAGACGTGAGCCACCACACCCAGCCAGAATCTGTCCTTTAACAAGGTCCAAAGGGGATGTACATTAACATTGGGGAGGCACTATACTAGACTACCCTCTTTTTCTTTTTTGTTTTTTTGAGACAGAATCTCACTGGAGTGCAGTGGCACCATCTCAGCTCACTGTAACCTCCTCTGCGTCCCAGGTTTAAGCAATTCTCATGCCTCAGCCTCCAGTAGCTAGGATTATAGGTGGCGCCACCGTGCCCAGATACGTTTTTTTGTATTTTTAGTACAGATGGGGTTTCACCATGTTGGCCACACTGGTCTCAAACTCCGGACCTCAAGTGATCTGCCCGCCTCGGCCTCCCAAAGTGCTGGATTACGGGCATGAGCTGCCATTCCTGGCCTACCCTCTTTCTTTTATCCAACAGCAGAAGCCAGATAGCCCAGACCAAAGCTCAAGTCTTCTGGTGAGCTTCTAGAATTTCAGAACTAACCTGAGGGAATTAGGCTGAAAGGAGAAGAGATCACCAAAACCAAGAACTCTGACTTGGTTAATAGCTACTGATGCACATGAAGGCAACATGTTCTCTGAGGTATAAACAGAGGTCTTTAGGAACAATCTTAGCTAAGTAGACAGTAGCTGATATTTACTGTAAGCAGAGATTTGTTAGCAAACTAACATTATTTCTATTTAAACAATGGTTTCCAAGGTGTATAATTTATGTTATGACTTAGACCAGAATTCTATTGTCGCTTATTTAACATATATTTATTGAGCTCCTACTATGTGTCATATACTCTTAGGTGCTAGGAACATGGAGATTAACAAGACAGACAAGGTCCCAGCTGTTGTGGAGCTTACATTCTAGAAGGGGGAGATAGACAACAAATTGATAAACACATAAGATAGTTTCAGATGGTGATAAGTGCTATAAGAATAATAAAATAGGTTAAGGGGATAGAAGTAAGGGAGGAAGAGGGTAGAGAGCTATTTTAGTTGTTAGGGAAGTCCTCTCTTAGGAGACATTTGAGCTAAGTCCCAAATTATGACACAGAATCAACCTTATAACAACCTGAGAGAAGAGCCTTCCAGGCAGGAGGAAGTACAAAGGTTCTAAAGCAGAAGAGAATTTGGATCTTTTTGAGGGATAGACAGAAGGTTATGGTGGCTAGAATGTATTGTGTGAGGGGAAAAGTAGTAGGAGATGGTTCTGTAGAGGGCCAAATCATATAGCCTATTGAAACCACGTGGCATTTTATTATTGTTTTTTGGAATAGCTTTATCCAGATTGGCTGTGATGGCTCATACCTGTAATCCCAGCACTTTGGGAGGTCAAGGCAAGAGGATCGCTTGACTGCAGGTGTAGTGTGCACCTGTGGTTCCAGCTACTTGGGAGGCTGAGGTGGAAGCATTGCTTGAACCCAGTGAGCTGTGATTGTGCCACTGGATTCTAGCCTGGGCAACAGAGAGAGACCCTGTCTCAAAATATATATATATATATATAAAAAAACAGCTGTATCAAGATATAATTCACATACCATAAAATTCACCATTTTAAAATGATTAGGTAGTTTTAGTATATTCACAGAATTGTACAACAACTATCACCACTATTTGATTCCAGAACGTATCACTCCTAAAAGAAAGCCTATATTCCTTAGCAGTTACTCATTCCTTCTCTCCCCAACAGCCTGTAGTAACCACTAATCTACTTTCAGTCTCTGGATATACCTATTTTGGCCATATCATATATGTGAAATAATACAATATGTGTCCTTTTATGACTGACTTCTATCATTTAGTGTAATATTTTCAGGGTTTATCCTCTTTCCATCAGATGGATATGTCATATTTTGTTAATTCATTTATCAGTTAATGGACGTTTGAATTGTTTCTATTTTTTGGGTATCATGAATAATGCTGCTGTGAATATTGTTGTACACATTTTTGTGTGAACATAAGTTTTTATTTCTCTGGAGTATACACCTAAGAGTGATATAATATATAACAATGTTTAACATCTTTTTTTTTTTTTTTTTTTTTTTTTGAGACGGAGTCTTGCTCTGTCACCTAGGCTGGAGTGCAGTGGCGTGATCTCGGCTCACTGCAAGCTCTGCATCTCAGGTTCACACCATTCTTCTGCCTCAGTCTCCCGAGTAACTGGGACTACAGGTGCCCATCACCACGCCCGGCTATGTTTTTGTATTTTTAGTAGAGACAGGGTTTCACTGTGTTAGCCAGGGTGGTCTCGATCTCCTGACCTCGTGATCCACCTGTCTCAGCCTCCCAAAGTGCTGGGATTACAGGCGTGATTCACCGCGCCCAGCCAATGTTTAACATCTTGGTGAGCTACCTGATTGTTTCCCAAAGTGGCTATGATATTTTACAATCCCATCAGCAATGAATGATAGTTCTAATTTCTGGCTGGGTAGGATTTTATTCTAATTATAATATGAATCCGTTAGAAAATTTTAAGTAGAAGAACAGTATGGATTATTGCTGTTCTAGTTTCTAGTTGTGAAGATCCAACTAGAAACTATAAGTAGTACCTCCAGTCCACCTCTGTATCTTCCTCGAATAGTTATGTAGGTCAGTGAGTGTCCACAAAATCATTTGTTGATGTTCAAATCACAGTTCATTCCTTCTTCCGTCTTCTCTTTTTCAAATTGTGGTAAAATATGCACAATATAAAATTCACCATTTTAACCATTTTTAAGTATACAGTTCTGTGGCATTAAATACATTCACGCAGTTGTACAACGATCACCATGACCAATCTGCAGAACTTTTTCATCATTCCAAACTGAAACTCTATACCCATTAAACCACAACTCCCTCCTTTTAACCCCTAGCAACCACCATTCTACTTTCTGTCTCTATGAATTTGACCACTGTAGGTACCTCAAATGAGTGGAATCATACAGTATTTGTCCTTTTTTGACTGGCATATTTCACTTAACACGATGTCTTCAAGGTTCATCCATATTGTAGCATGTTAAGATTCCCTTCTATTTTAAGGCTGAATAATAGTCCGTTGTATGTATGTATCACGTTTTGTTTATTCATTCATCTGTCCGTGGATACTTGGGTTGTTTCTTCCTTTTGGTTATTGTGAATAATGCTGCTGTGAACAGAGATGTACAAATATCTGTTGAAGTTCCTGTTTTTTGAGTACATACCCAGAAGCAGAATTTCTGGTTTATATGGTAATTCTATGGTTAATTTTTTGAGAAATTGCCATACCGTTTTATAGTCCCACTAGCATTGTACAAGTGTTCTAATTTCACCACATCCCTGATTTTAATTCTGTATCTGTAACCACCTGTAAAGAATGCTACAACTTTAAGGCACCTTTAAGAGAACAATCTCACAAATTTCAATAATTTTGGATTTTCATTAAGTGAATTGACTATTTTGTTTATTTTCTGGAATATAGAGTTTGAAGGCAGGTGACCTTGGGCTGGTTTTCCTTCCCATTGTTTACCATGAACACTGGGAATTAGGACGAGAATTAGTATGTAAAGAATGTTGGCCCTCTGGGAGCGAGTTCCACATTTCATCTCATCTAAATCCTTACAACAACCTCATGAGACAGCTAGTGTATTTTTTTTCTCATGTTTGAGATTAAAGAAGATGCTCAGAGTGGTTAAGAGTCCTGTTTAAGGTAACATCCCCTAGAAATGGCAAAGCTGTAATTCAAACAAGTATTTCCAGACCTACTGGCTCTCTCAATTCTAGCAGCCTTCCTGTTCACAGCATCCTGAATATAGTATATTGGGGATTAGAAGTCTTGTATGTCACTAGACAGCTTTTTATGATCTCTATTGTTTTCTGTTGGGCCCAGAACAGATGAAGTAAATGGCAAGATGTTTCTCACACCAGCAGAGGACACTGTCAGCCAACAGAGACAGTGATATCGGTGGTCTGGGGGCTCAGGAGTTTAGAGCCAACCCTAGTCCTGGTGGGTTGCTGGATGGAGCAACTACGTACCTGCCACCATGGACAGCTGCCTTAGAAATCTAATTTGTGTATATTGAGTTTTTCAGTATTCAGAAGAGCTCTCTATATATGGTCCTTTGGTAAATAATATTGTGTGCTGCAACTTATTGTTTTCTGTGTTCCAGAACTATACTCAGTCCTTTAAGTGCTTTATTTAATCTTTTTTTTTTTTTTTTTTTTTTTGAGACGGAGTCTCGCTCTGTCGCCCAGACTGGAGTGCAGTGGCACGGACTCTGCTCACTGCAAGCTCCGCCTCCCGGGTTCGCGCCATTCTCCTGCCTCAGCCTCCTGAGTAGCTGGGACTACAGGCGCCCGCCACCACACCCGGCTAATTTTTTGTATTTTTAGTAGAGACGGGGTTTCACCGTGTTAGCCAGGATGGTCTCGATCTCCTGACCTCATGATCCGCCCGTCTCGGCCTCCCAAAGTGCTGGGATTACAGGCTTGAGCCACCGCGCCCGGCCGCTTTATTTAATCTTGAGACAACTCTGAGATTGTTACTATTATCCTCATTTAAAATATGAAGGTCAGGCGCGGTGGCTCACTCCTATAATCCCAGCACTTTGGGAGGCCAAGGTGGGTGGATCACCTGAGGTCAGGAGTTCAAGACCAGCCTGGCCAACATGGCAAAACCCCATCTCTACTAAAAATACAAAATTAGCCAGGCATGGTGGCATATGCCTGTAATCCCAGCTACTTGGAACGCTGAGGCAGGAGAATCGCTTGAACCTGGGAGGTGAAGGTTGTAGTGAGCTGAGATCCTGCCATTGCACAGCAGCCTGGGCAAGAAGAGCAAAACTCTGTCTCAAAAATAAATAAATAAATACATATATACATACATACATACAAGAATTAGCCAGGTGTGGTGGTGGGTACTTGTGATCCCAGCTACTCGGGAGGCTAAGGAAGGAGAATTGCTTGAACCTGGGAGGCAGATGTCTCTGAGCCGAGATTGTGCCACTGCATTCCAGCCTGGGCGACAGAGCAAGACTCCATCTCTTTTCTTTTTTCATCCAAAAAAAATAAATAAATAAATAAAATATGAGACCTGAGCCCAGATCTGGCGCTGGATCACAAGCTTTTAATCACAAAGTGGTTGAATTGCCTTTTTTTTTTTTTCCTTTTTTTGAGACAGAGTCTACCTCTGTCACCCAGGCTGGGGTGCAGTGGCATGATCTGGGCTCACTGCAACCTCCGCCTCCTGGTTCAAGCAATTCTCGTTCCTCAGCCTCCTTAGTAGCTGGGATTACAGGCACACGCCACCATGCCTGGCTAATTTTTGTAATTTTAGTAGAGATGGGTTGGCCAGGCTGGTCTTGAACTCCTGACCTCAAGTGATCTGCCCGCCTTGGCACCTAAGGTGCTGGGATTACAGGCATGAGCCACCATGCCCGGCCTGAATTGCCTTTTACTTTGCACATGAATATTTTCTAACTTACCTATCAAGTGAAACTCAAGAGGAGAATACATGTATGCACAAAGGATTTTGCAGTTCCCTTCCCCATGGCTGACAGCCAAGGTATCTTTCCTTATTATGGGACTCTGGGTACAGGATGGACTGTACTCAAGCCAGAGCTACCTGTCCTTCTCGTTTCCTCAGGTCTGTAACATTGTGGCTGGGCAACGCTGTATTAAAAAGCTGACTGACAACCAGACTTCGACCATGATAAAGGCCACAGCTAGATCCGCTCCAGACAGACAGGAGGAGATCAGTCGCCTGGTCAGTGGGCCTACTCATTTGCTCAGTCATTGGGGCCATTGGTAGCATAAATGTTTTAATGCCCCAGCAGGACCTTCCTTCAGGAGAACCCAAGTCTAGATTTGTTGCCTAGGACTCTATAAGGCTGCTCTTCTTTCTTACCGTATAGCTACTTTGCTTTCTATCTCTTTTTCTCTCCTGTATTACTTTGCTGTGTTATCCTGTCACTTCCCTCATCTTCCACTTTCCCTCTTTTTTTAGGACTATTCTGTACCAACCCCAGCTTCTCCTTAGGGTTCTCTCCTTGATACCCAGAGGGTGAGCAGTATTGCCAAGCTCTTGCTCTCCTGAGATTACTCTCTTTTGTCCTGCAGATGAAGAATGCCAGCTACAACTTAGATCCCTACATCCAGGAATTTGGGATCAAAGTGAAGGATGACATGACGGAGGTGACAGGGCGAGTGCTGCCGGCGCCCATCTTGCAGTACGGCGGCCGGGTGAGCAGGGTCAGGGCCAGACAACATCTCAGGGTATATGGGGGTGGTTGGTTTGTATAGCCAGGGGCTTTTGCTCCCCTACCCACCTGACTCTACTGAGGCTCACCTGGGCGCCCCCTCTGCCTATCCCCAGAACCGGGCCATTGCCACACCCAATCAGGGTGTCTGGGACATGCGGGGGAAACAGTTCTACAATGGGATTGAGATCAAAGTCTGGGCCATCGCCTGCTTCGCACCCCAAAAACAGTGTCGAGAAGAGGTGCTCAAGTAAGGAGGGTTCGGTGTAGGGGTGGAAGGGTGGGAAAGACCCTGGAGCTGCCTACCTTCCTGTAGTCCACAGGGGCCGATACTGATCAGTAATGTGTTCTGTCTTGACTCTGCCTGCATTGTGCTTTCTGGCTCAAACTTCTACCAATTCCTTTTCTATCGATCTGTGGTCAGGGGAAGTTAATAAGGAGCCATATCTAAGTCAAAGATGATGATTTCAGGGCATGAATCTCCTAAGAGAGGCCTGAATTATTTTATTGTTATAATTATCATTGGTAATAAATAGTAGTAGTGATGACTGTAATGTTTACACCAAAATTGTACTTAAGTACCTAATTTTTATTCTCTCATTTCATCTTTACAGTGAGTAGGTGGTGATATGTCGATTTTCAGGAGACTGAGGCTCAAAAGAGGTTAAGTAACTTGTCCAAAGTTTGCACATCATCAGGAAAGTGTCAGAGTTGGAAGCAAATCAGATCTGAGCTTCAAAACTTGTGTTCCTAATTGGAAACAAAATAGAGCAGCTTGTTTAGCTGGTTGTCAGGGCCTCTGTGCCACTGTAGCTGGGAGTAGATGGCACCAATGAGGAAAGTGTTGTAGCCAAATGATCTAAAGAAACCAGGCAGTAATGGGTTGAGAAGTCAACAACCCCTCCCCTGGAGTCTTTTTTTTTTTTTTTTTTTTTTTGAGATAGAGTCTCGCTCTGTAGCCCACGCTGGATTGGATTGTAGTGGCGTGATCTCGGCTCACTGCAAGCTCCATCTCCCGGGTTTACGCCATTCTCCTGCCTCAGCCTCCCGAGTAGCTGGGACCACAGGCGCCCACCACCACACCTGGCTAATTTTTTGTATTTTTAGTAGAGATGAAGTTTCAGTGTGTTAGCCAGGATTGTCTCGATCTCCTGGCTTTGTGATCTGCCTGCTTTGGCCTCCCAAAGTGCTGGGATTACAGGCATGAGCCACCACGCCCGGCCCTCTTTTTGTTTGTTTGTTTGTTTGTTTGTTTGTTTGTTTTATTGAGATAGGTTTAAAATGCCACAAAAGTCACAGTTAGTTGTTTCCTACATATAGCATACAGTTAGTTGGTTATTGCCATGTTTTGAAGTGGTTGCTTCTCATAGTCTCTGGATCTGGAGTGGGATCAGCACACTGTAGGGATGAGGAAGAGTTGATGGAGCCGACCGTTTTGGCTAGACAAGGGCAGTGGGGAAGTATGCCGTGATGAATTCAGCTGACCTTGGAGTCATGAGAATTCGTTCTTAGCTGGGGTGCAGTGGTGCGTGCCTGTAATCCTGGCTACTCAGAAGGCTGAGGCAGGAGGATCACTTCAGCCCAGGAGTTTGCTGGGCAATATAGATTCTATAAGTTCTAAGTCAGGCACGGTGGCTCCTTTCTGTAAACCCAGCAGTTTGGGAGGCTGAGGTGGGCAGATCACGAAGTCAGTAGTTTGAGACCAGCCTGGCCAATATGGTGAAACTCCGTCTCTACTAAAAATACAAAAATTAACCAGGCGTAGTGGCACGTGCCTGTAGTCCCAGCTACTCAGGAGGCTGAGGCAGGAGAATTGCTTGAACCCAGGAGGTGGAGGTTGCAGTGAGATAAGGTTGTGCCACTGCACTCCAACCTGGTGACAGAGCGAGACTCAGTCTCAAAAAAAAAAAAAAAAAAAAGTTCTAACAGCTCCTGATGGATCTGGGGACTATGGGACCTGCCCTTGCTCTTCTTCCCTTACCCCTCACAGCTGTACAAACAACCATCATAATTGTAGTTCCTTGGGTTCTTGTCTCCTTTCCTGAGTTCTTTTTTTTTTTTTTTGAAACGGAGTCTTGCCTTGTAGCCCAGGTACAGTGGCACAATCTCGGCTCACTGCAAGCTCCGTCTCCTGGGTTCACACCAGACTTCTGCCTCAGCCTCCTGAGCAGCTGGGACCACAGGCACCCGCCGCCATGCCCAGTCAATCTTTTGTATTTTTAGTAGAGATGGGGTTTCACCGTGTTAGCCAAGATGGTCTTGATCTCCTGACCTCGTGATCTGCCCACCTCGGCCTCCCAGCGTTCTGGGATTACAGGTGTGAGCCACTGCGCCTGGCCTTTTTCTGAGTTCTTTAGCCCCTATTTAAGCCAGCCTGCTTGGCAGTATTGGAAAGGCTCCCAGCTTTTTGCCTTTGTGCCATAGTCACTTCATAGTAGTTCTATTCTCTGTGTGCTCTTGTGTTTCTCCCATGTCCTTCCCTTGTCCATTTCTTTTGGGATAAGCTATTGTTTTGGCCATTTTGGGGTATGGACACCAATAAACCCAGAACCTCAAACTTGGAAGAGTTTATCAGACATTCCCTTCCCCCAGTGACACCTAGTTGTAAGGGGTAAGAATGTGGCTTTTTCATGTGGGTCATTAGTAGCCAGTTAAATCTGTGGTTCTGACTGGGCTAACGGTAAAGATTTCCAGGTCATCTATGGCAGTGGCTGAGATTGTCCAGTGAGAATGTACATAGTAAGTGGAGATTGAAGATATAACTTAGAGGAACTGGAAAATAAACAGAGCAAAGTCCCTAAGTGTGTATGGGGTGATGGGATCCAGAGCACTGAGAAAGGGCATCCTTTCCACTGAGAAAGTGGGAGAAGACATGAGGGTGCTATGGGGTTCGACAAACTAGTAGTTGGGGGATGATGGATGATGGAGTTCTAGATGCAACCCTCAATTTTTTTCTGGCTAAAGAGGCCCTATTACTTTAGCTATATCACCTTTAAGATGGGATTTTAGGACCTTCCTCATCTTAAACGTCTCACAATAGTTTGTGGCCCCCGGCACTGGACACAGTATTCCAAGTGTAGTCTGGTAGTAGAGAGAAGAGTGGAAATACGTCTCTTCTTGAAGTTGAGACCCACTATTCATGAAATCTGATAACATACTGGCTTTTTAATAGCTACATTGCAGTTGTATACAGGGCAGAGAAATGGAAAACATACTATTAATGGTCAAAGCCCTAGCTGTTATTTACGTGAAACAGTGGTTAGGTAATGTTTTTTTTATTCTAACATTCATTTTGAAAAAAATTTTTTAAGATAAATACAGAGAATAACATGTATCCATCCAGTTTTGTCATATTTATCCTTTTTTAAATGTAAATATTACAGGTAAATTTGATGTTCCTTCATGTCCTCCACCCTAGTCCCATTCCTCCCTTCTTTTTTTTGACAGAGTCTCGCTCTTGCCCAGGCTGGAGTGCAGTGGCACAATCTTGGCTCACTACAGCCTCTGCCTCCTGTTTCATGCAATTCTCCTGCTTCAACCTCCTGAGTAGCTGGGATTACAGGCACTCACCACCATGCCCAGTTAGGTTTTTCTGTGTTTTTGGTAGAGACAGGGTTTCATCAGGTTGGCCAGGCTGGTCTCGAAGTCCTGACCTCAAGTAATCTGCCTACCCTGGCCTCCCAAAGTGCTGAGATTACAGGTGTGAGCCACTGTGCCGGCCCCGTTCCTCCCTTCTGATGAAGCCACTGTTATGAATTATTGCAACTATCCTATTCAATTTATATACCTATATATAAATGATTTTAAATTTTGCATAATAGTATTTACCGTATTTATTTTTCTTGTGTGTTTTTACTAAATATGTGAAAAAATATTTTCTCACAAAACTATCACATTGCTATTTATATGCTATATAATAATATCTCCTAAACAACTGCTTCCATGGTCGTCTTGTACATTGTTTTTAAATTTAAATGGAAGATTATCACAAAGTAAATTTCGTGCTGCTTATTTCAGTTTTTGAGTATCTTTATGTAGCTTGATTTTTTTACTCTACTGCATGTGTGTCCTCTCTTCCAACTTTGTCTTCCTCTCCAGGGTAAAGCCCTAAAGCCAAAGGAAGGAAGCTTAATAATTGGCTCTTAGGTTTCAAAGAACCAGTTGGGAAGGAGGGAACTCATTTTTACTGAGCATCTCCTGTGCTCCCGTCACTGTTGGAACCTCATTTGCTTTGAGCAGAAAGGCCTTACATATGGGCATCTGCCTATTTCTTTGGACATGTAATGGAGCACAGGAATCAGCTGCTTGAGTGGGGCAAGGTGGGAACCCTGAGAATTCCCATAGGTCCCTTTTCTGGGCTTCCTCATCTCCTTGCTTGTACCATCGAACACTTAGCAAGTACTCTCTTACTTTACTCAACTATAAATGTATTTTTTACGTTAGCTATTATTGTGTATCATTCATGTTAGAATCTCAGTGTTAGCTGGATGCGGTGGCTCATGCCTGTAATTCCAGCACTTTGGGAGGCTGAGGTGGGAGGATCACTTGAGTCCAGGAACTTGAGACCAGCCTGGGCAACATAGTGAGATCCCATCTCTACTAAAAAGAAAAAAAGTTAGCCAGGCATGGTGGCATGCCTCTAGTCCTATCTACTCAGGAGGCTGAGATGGGATGATTGTTTTAGCCTGGCAGCTCGAGGCTTGAGTGAGCCCAGATTGTGCCATTGTACTCCATCCTGGATGACAGAGCACCCTGTCTCAAGAAAAAAACCAAAAAACCAGTCTCTCAGTGCCTCATACAGTGCTAAACACCTAAGATGGATGGATTTTTGTCAGAAGAATTCAAGTGAGACTCACTGCCTCCTTTGTGACCATGCATGTGTACAGGAACTTCACAGACCAGCTGCGGAAGATTTCCAAGGATGCGGGGATGCCTATCCAGGGTCAGCCTTGTTTCTGCAAATATGCCCAGGGGGCAGACAGCGTGGAGCCTATGTTCCGGCATCTCAAGAACACCTACTCAGGGCTGCAGCTCATTATTGTCATCCTGCCAGGGAAGACGCCAGTGTATGGTACAGTTCTCTTGGTACAGTGATAATGGTGATAGGACTTTTCTCAGCGTAGCTCCCTGGGGTCTCCTGGGAAGGACTCAGTCTAGAGTCTTGGCTTTGACCAGAGCTGTTACTTAATGTCAGTGCTCCTCTTATAGGAGAAATAGCATGCCTGAGCCCTTGAGTGATTCCAGGTCCTAATTATCTGCACACACTCCTTCCCAACAACATTTACTGGGGTCCTTTGTGTGCTGGTCCTTATGCCAGGCTAAGCTGGGCCAGGTACAGAGATGAGTTGGTCTAGATTCCTATCCTTAGGAGTGCGTTGTTTATCTGGACATTGTGCAGCGCAACCAAGCAGAATAGGTGGTCCTGTTAGTATCGTGTTGCCTGGTAATTACTTGGACTTTTTGAGAGACTTGCTATCTCTCCTCTTTTCCTCTCATTTTTTAGAATAAGAATGACTATATAAATTTCTGTCACAGCACTTTTCTTTTATACCATTTTCCGTCTCCATTTCTCCTGCTTCGAAGGAGTAAGAGTTCCTTTTACCTTGTTCAACTCCTCTGTGTTCTCTTTCCCAACCCATCCTGCTACCTTTGGGACTTCATACCTTTCAACCCTCAAATATATTCAGATCCGCCATCCTAATGCACATTACCACAAATTTGCCGTCTCTTTTAGCTTTTGTCTTCCTGTTTCCTTCATTAAACTTTTTGAGGCCTGGTACAGTGGTTCACACCTGTAATTCTAGCACTTTGGAATGCCAAGGTGGGAGGATCGCTTGTGCCCAGGAATTCGAGGCCACTCTGGGCAACAAAGCAAGACCTCATCTCTACGAAAAAATAAAGTTAGCCAGTCATGTTGTGCACCTGTGGCCCCAGCTACTTGGGAGTCTGAGGCTAGAGGATTTCTTGAACCCAAGAGGTTGAGGCTGCAGTGAGCTGCAATTGTGCCACTGTACTTCAGCTTGGGTAACGTAGTGATGAGACCTTGTCTCAAAACAAAACAAAAAAAACCTTTTTGAATGAGTTCTCTGTATTCTCTATGTCTCTTTCAGCCATCTTGCCTTCTGTCTACCTTTCTCCTAAATCTCTGCACAGGCTTGCCAATGACTTTTCTCAGTTGTCCTCTTGACTTCTGGATATTTTCTTCTATCTCTCCTTATTTATTTTTGTCATTACCAGGAATCCTTGGTGTTCTACAGGTTCCTGTTGTCTGCCTTCTCATTCTGCCTTTACATTTTATTAAAATTCCCATTCATTTCAGTTGCTTCAATCATCACCTATTATTATATGTGATTAAAATCTTGATTCAACCCTTGAACCCTCTGCAACTTCTGTCTGTCCCTTTGGCCTCTCTGCCTTTCTTCTTCAAGAGGTTACCGATCACCTATTATGTATGGAACACTGTGCAAGATCTGGATATATTGATGAATAAAACAGATGTAGTGTCTGCTCTTAGAAAGTGTTTTATTGGACCATCTCTTCAGTAGTTTGTCCTCTCTATAAACCTTGTCTTTCCTACTTCTGTATTTGACATCACAGTTGCTTCTAAGTACCTTCATTCAAACTTTGGAGACAGTCTGTCCTTTTGCTTCACCTTCGTTGTTCTTCTTCACATTTTTCTCAAGATAATACACCCTGCTCTTGATCCACACTTCTCAACTGAGTTCTAACCTTCCTTTTTTTCTTTTTTTTGAGACAGAGTCTTGCTCTGTTGCCCAGGCTGGAGTGCAGTGGTGCCATCTCAGCTCACCGCAACCTCCGCCTCCCGGGTTCAAGTGATTCTCGTGCCTTAGCCTCGAAAGTAGCTGAGATTACAGGTGCGCACTACCACTCCTGGCTAATTTTTGTATTTTTAGTACAGATGGGGTTTTGCCATGTTGGCCAGGCTGGTCTTGAACTCCTGACCTCAAGTGATCTGCCCGCCTCGGCCTCCCAAAGTGCTGGGATAACAGGCATGAGCCACCATGCCCTGCCTCAAGACTTTCTTGAATGGGTTCCAAGTAAGACTTTTTGTGACTCTACTATCAAAAATACCTTCAATGGTTACTATTAATTCCTGCATAAAGGGTTTAATGGACCTGATCTTAGTTTAATGTTTTCAGCTTTATCTTGCACTGTTCGCTTGCCACTCATACTGGAATGATTGCTGGTTCTGGAATTGTTGAAGAGAGCTGAATTTGAATTTAATCCTGGCTATACCAGTCAACTGGCTTGGACACATTACCTAACCGTTCTGAGCATCATGAATTAATTATATAAAAAGCAGAATCTAGCACAGTGCCTGGCATGTAGCTGACACTCTGAGTGCTCATTTCTTGTCTGTGGTTTTCAATCTCTGGTTTTGTTCACGTCATTTGCCTTTACTTGGAATATCTGTATCCTCTTCTTCTTGTCCCCCACCTTGCCCTTAAAATTCTCTCCATCTTTTAATACCCAGTTTAAATACTACTTATTTTTTATTCTTGACATTTCACCTGGAGAGTGAACTTGTCTCTTTCTGGATTCCTCTAGTGTATCAGACCACTGATCAGTTACTACCTTACTTGATACTTTGTTGTGGAGTGGATCGGATTCTGCTCTGAAATCTTTCCTCTCTATATACACACCTAAGGGAGTGCCTTTCACTGATATGATACTTAGTAATTAACTTATGGAGAAAAGTTGTTTGATCTTCAGTCCTTGTCTTTCTTGGGCCCTTGTATGGATGATAAGGATGCTTTTTAGGAGAACTTCCTTGAGAAAGTATTCATGTTTCTGATTTCCCTCCATTAAAGGGAAAATCCAGTGTTTTGTCTTGGGAATGGTACAGCATGCTTGGGAAAGGCAGTACTTAATCAGAATTTTCCCTTTCCTGGGCTCAATTATGTTACACTTCTCTCTAGCCTCAGATATTTTATTGGGACCTCGAGTTTCTTTCATTTACATGCAGTTCCTTGATTATATCACCTGGACAATCTGACTGGTACTCTTTTTCTGCTGGCTTAGTTCCTAGGCAATGGAGTCATTTGCCTAGGAACTAAGCCAGCAGAAAAGAGCAGCCGTCAGACTCTTCTAAAGACCCTTCACCATCCCTCCTGGGAGGCTGGGTAAAATGGCATCCTCCTTGTGATGGTCAAAGCAAGGTCCCATTGGCATTTGGTTGCCCTGAGAGTGTAGAAGGACAGTGTCACATTTGCCCTGTTCTGATCAGGTAGTATACCTATCCTGTCTTTAGTATATTTAATTGCTTCCTCTCCACTAAACTGATATTTTTTTTAATGTAAACTTTTTATTAAATTGTATATATAGAAATCTTACATGTTCAGCTTAGTGATATTTCATAAAGTGTCACAACAGTGTAACCAGCACCCAGTTCAGCAGCAGAACCTTACCACAGCCCCAGTCACTACAACCTCCTACCAGTGGTAACCACTATTCTGGCTTCTAATACCATAGGTTAGTTTTGCCTATATTTAAACTTTATATAAATAGAATCATATAGTATATACTTTTTTTGTGTCTGACTTCTTTCATGCAACATAAAGTTGTGATTTGTTATAGTTTTTCCATCATATGAATATAACACAATTTCCATCTATTTATCCGTTCTGTTAAATGTACATATTTGGATTGTTTCCAGTTTTTGACTATTGAAAATAATGCTTCAGGCTGGGTGCAGTGACTCATGCCTGTAATCCTAGCACTTTGGGAGGCCGAGGCAAGTGAATCACCTGAGGTGAGGAGTTTGATACAAGTCTGGCCAACATGGTGAAGCCCCGTCTCTACTAAAAATACAAAACATGAACTGGGTGTGGTGGCAGGTGCCTGTAATCCCAGCTACTCGGGAGGCTGAGGCAGGAGAATTGCTTGAACTCGGGAGGTGGAGATTGCAGTGAGCTGAGATCATGCCACTGCACTCCAGCCTGGGCAACAGAGGAAGACTCTGTCTCAAAAAAATAATAATGATAATAATAGTAATGCTTCAGTGAACACTCTTCTATGTGTCCTTTGAACATATATAACCATTTTTTCTTGAGAGTGTATCCAGGAGTGGATTTTAAGTATACCAATTTATCCTTTCACCAGCAGTGTATAAGAGTTCTAGATAATGCCGGGCGCGGTGGCTCACGCCTGTAATCCCAGTACTTTGGGAGGCCAACGCGGGCAGATCACGAGGTCGGGAGATCGAGACCAGCCTGGCTAACATGGTGAAACCCCATCTCTACTAAAAATGCAAAAAAATTAGTTGGGCGTGGCAGCAGGCGCCTGTAGTCCCAGATACTTGGGAGGCTGAGACAGGAGAATGGTGTGAACCCAGGAGGCGGAGCTTGCAGTGAGCCGAGATCGCACCACTGCACTCCAGCCTGGGCGACTGAGCGAGACTCCATCTCAAAAAAAAAAGAGTTCTAGATAGTTTATATCCTTACCAAACTTGGAATCCATCTCAGTAAAAAAAAAGAACAGGAATCCCGGGGTCATGAAGATACTATTTTTAAGTGTTTTTTTTTAAATGATTAAAAAAAAATCATTCATGTTTAGAATTAATCTATCTCTAAATGGAGCAAAAACTGTTGATTTTCTTTTCCATGGCAGTGGTGCAGAGCTTAGACTCTTAGCTTCCTACCCACACTTGGATTCAGCAAATGTACCCAGGGTAAAAGCAACTGCTGAAGATAGCTCACCTCTGAGATTTTTTTTTTCTCCCTCTCTGGAATTTTACCCCATCTAGTTCTTGTTTTCTCAGCATTCTCTGCTGCCTTTAAAAAGATGATTTTTATATTTTATCTGGCTTTTCTGAGTGCTATCTGTAGAACTGGCTTGCCACTATTCCATCTCTCTTGGAAGTAGATATGATCTTTTTAAATATGCTCAAATCTCTTCCATTGAAAGCATACCAAATTGTTGGTCAGTCCTACATTTTCTTCCTGGTACCTTAAATCACCACAACAATTTTTGCCTCTGTACACTAATTTTTTTTTTAACCTTAATATCACTAATTCCAGAGGATATTTCTGGTCCTGATTTTACCTCATCTCTTAGACGCATTTCACTTTGTTGACCACTTGCTCCTTCTTGAAACACTCTCTTCCCTTGGCAGTCATGATACGACATTAGCTTGGTCTCCCTTCTAGCTTTCTGGATTTTTTGTCCTTTGCTGACTCATCGTCTTATTCTGCCAATACTGGGAGTTCCTCAAGATTCAGATCTAGGTTGTCTTCTCTTTTTACTATGTTATCTTCCTTAGTGATCTCAAGATCATGCCTTCAACTACTCTCTGTACCTAATTATCACACAAATTTGCATCTCCATTTCAGACTACTCTTGAGCATTGAACCACGAGACCCATTCGCTTAGTTGATATCCTTACTGAGATGACCAAAAAACTACTTCAGACTCAAAATGTGTCACAAATAATTTATGGCGTATTTTTATTTTATTTTATTTTATTTTATTTTATTTTATTTCATTTCATTTATTTTTCCAAGACGGAATCTTACTCTGTCACCTAGGCTGGAGTGCAGTGGTGTGATCTCGTCTCACTGCAACCTCTGCCTCCCAAGTTCAAGCGAATCTCCTGCCTCAGTCTCCCAAGTAGCTGGGACTACAGGCGTGTGCCACCACACCCAGCTATTTTTTTGTATTTTTAGTAGAGACGGGGTTTCACTGTGTTAGCCAGGATGGTCTCGATCTCCTGACCTCGTGATCCACCTGCCTCGTCCTCCCAAAGTGCTGGGATTACAGGCATGAGCCACCGCGCCCGGCCCTCACCCGTCTTGTTAATGTAAGCTACCCTTATCTCCTCAAATAGGTCAGTCTAGTGACCACATTCTTTCTCTTACAACATGCTCCCCTTGCTCTTCTTTTTAGCTGCTATGGTCTTTCTGTTTCTCAGACACATCTTGCTATCTTCTAGCAGGGTGCATTTTTGCATGTTGTTCCCTCTGCCTAGAATGCTCTCTCTCAAACTCCCTCTCCTCTAAGTCCTTTGCTGTCCTCAGATTTCATTTCAATCATTACCTACTCAAGAATCCTTTCCTGACTAGGTTTTTATTTCTTATTTTATGCTGTCATTGTTCCGTGAAGTTTTCTGTCGTGTCATTTATCAGTGTTGTAATTTTCACAGTTTTTAAAATTAGTCCCTATTTAGTAAGCACTATGAGAGCAGGGACCTTATGTGTTTCCTGTCATCATTGTGTTCGCTAGCACCTCATACACTGCCTGGCATCTAGTAGGCATTCAGTAAATGTTTGTTGAATGCACTAATCATTTCTCTCCCCGCCCATAGCTGAGGTGAAACGTGTTGGAGATACGCTCTTGGGAATGGCTACGCAGTGTGTGCAGGTGAAGAATGTGGTCAAGACCTCACCTCAGACTCTGTCCAACCTCTGCCTCAAGATCAATGTCAAACTTGGTGGCATTAACAACATCCTAGTCCCACACCAGCGGTATGAACTCTGTTGTCCACTTGCCCTTTTCAAGGTACCATGCTGGGAATTGATGAAGAGATAGGACCCTGGCCAGGCAGAGTGAATCAGACACAAGGGGGAGAAGAGCAGAGTGGGTATTGGATGGTGCCAGCTAGAGAAGACCCAACGCCTCACCATTTTGTTTTCTCTTCCTTGCTCAGCTCTGCCGTTTTTCAACAGCCAGTGATATTCCTGGGAGCAGATGTTACACACCCCCCAGCAGGGGATGGGAAAAAACCTTCTATCACAGCAGTGAGTGATATTCTCTAGCTGCCTCATAAAGTTCTCCTCTTCACTCTGAGTCCTCAAAACTGCCCATGATTTCCTTCCCTCAGCTCTGGCTCTTGACCCTTCATAAGATCTCCATTTAGCTCGCTATTCCCAATTCCCATTCCCTTGATATGTCATAAAGGTAGCTCTGTATGGTGTTTTTTTTCAGGGAGAGTAGTGAGAGTGTAGCCAGAGACTTGACTCATTCTGCATCACTCTTGCTCTGCATTTGAATGTCTCTCTCCCCATGCCTGCTTTTGGCATGTAGGAGAGGGACTGTATCTTCTCTGAAATCCCTTTAAAGGGAGTTACTTAGTTGATGGGACTATCCTTTCCTCTGCCCATCCTCACTGTGTAATAGATTAGATGTTTTTCCTATCTCTCTCCTGACTTTTCTGCTCTTTGTCTCCTAGGGGCTTCCAAATTGCTAGGGATCAGACTTCCTTTCCCACTTGTATTTCCTAAACCCTCACATTTCTGTAGGCACACTGGTCTTAACCTCAGTAAGTGCAGGGAAACCCTGTAATACGCTTATCCCTGTTTTTCTTGTGGCCATCCCTCCTAGGCTTTGGCCACTGTCTCCTTTCTAAATGGCGTTTCTTCCATCAACCACAAGAACACTGTTACTATGGTCATGATTCCTGGGTAGATTAGCATTTGAATGGGAAAAAGGATAAACTTGGGACTGGAAGAGGCCATTGTTTGATCTGGTAGTACTAAACCTTCACATGCTCCTCTGCAAAGGGTAGAGAAATCAATTTATCAAGTACCTACTGTGGGCTAGGCCCTGTGTAAGGTGCTTAATATGGACCACAGTAGCACTGCAAGCAGGTGTTCTTATCAACATCTGAGAAGAGGAAAAAAGATCAGAGAGATTGAGTAACTTCTGCTTGTGTGATAGAATAGAGATTGAAACCAGGGCTCTTTGAATCCCAACCCCTACTCATTCAGTTGCAGTTTTCTTGCTAAGAAGCCTTTCCACAAACCCATAGCCTGACAGTGAGGGTGAAGGTTCTAGGAGCTAATCCTTTTTCTCTGACTGTCAGGTGGTAGGCAGTATGGATGCCCACCCCAGCCGATACTGTGCTACTGTGCGGGTACAGCGACCACGCCAAGAGATCATCGAAGACTTGTCCTACATGGTGCGTGAGCTCCTCATCCAGTTCTACAAGTCCACCCGCTTCAAGCCTACCCGCATCATCTTCTACCGAGATGGGGTCCCTGAAGGCCAGCTACCCCAGGTAGGGCCCACAGTAGGTGGAGAAAACCTTCACATCATGGCTGGAAAGCTAGGTGCTGCTACCTTTTCTAAGCTATTGGCACTGGGAGGTGTGTCGCTTCTTAGGGAATTTTGCTAAATGGGGTAGACTTGGGGGCAAGGATGGCAACGGAGGGATGGAGTATACAAGCATCTGTAGATTTTTCTTCTCATAATAGAAGACTCTCAGTGCCTATTTAAGTAGTTGGTTCCTGTTGGAGACTGATTGTTCAGACCAGTGATTCTCAAATGCTAGCTTACATTAAGATCACCTGAAGGGCTTGTTAAAACAGTTTTAAGGGCTCTACCCTTAGAGTTTCTGATTCAATGAGTCTTGGATGAGGGCCAAGAATTTACAATACTGACAAGTTCTTAGGCGACGCTGATAGTCTGGAGATTGCATTTGAGGACTAACGCTCTTTTGACCTTCCTTCATAATATTCCTCCTATTCATTCTCACTGCCAGTCTTCATTTTTTTTTTTTTTTAACTTCTATCCTGAACTGGTATCCTTGACTACCATTTAATAGTATTATAACTATTGTTCCAGTGAACTTCTTGTGTGCCATGAACTGTGCTAAGCACTTCACGTTTTGTGTGTGTGTGTGTGTGTGTGTTTTTTTCCCTAAATCTGAGTGGAATCCAACATGTTCTATTTAATGCTTTACAATAGTCCTATGGAATAATAGTGTATTTACATTTAACAGATGAGAAAACAGGCTTGGAAATGTTACAGGATTCTTCAATGTCATCAAAGCTAATTAGGAGTGGAACTGGGATTCATACACATTGGTCTGATTCCATAGTTTATGCTCTTAACTGTTAGGCCCAGTTTCTTTTATTCTTTTTTTCTTTCTTTTTTTTTTTTTTTGGCGGGGACAGAGTCTCACTCTTGCCCAGGGTGGAGTGCAGTGGTATGATCTCAGCTCACTGCAGCCTCTGCCTCCTAGGCTGAAGTGATGATTCTCTTTTCTCAGCCTCCCAAGTAGCTGGGGCTACAGGTATGAGTCATCACATCCAGCTGATTTTTGTATTTTTAGTAGAGCTGGGGTTTCACCATGTTGGCCAGGCTGGTCTCAAACTCCTGACCTCAAATGATCCACCCGCCTTGGCCTCCCAAAGTGCTGGAAATACAGGCGTGAGCCACGGTGCCTGGCCATTATGCCCAATTTCTAAGTCATCCAGTATTTTCTAAAATATCAGACACATTTATCATATCACATATCTGTTCAGAAATATCTAGTGGCTTCACATAGCTTTGGGTTAAAATTCAAATTGCTTAGCAAAGCAATCAGCAGTTATTAAGCCCTACTAGGTTTTCTATGCTTTTACTTAATTGTCTATCTTAGTCTTCATAACAGCTTTGTGAAACAGGTCTTAGTAACATTAACAGATGTGGAGAAAATGAGACTTAGTGGAGTTGAATAACTTGCCCAATGTAATACAACTAGTTAAAGCTTGGATTTAAGTCTAATTGATTCCAAAGTCTATCATTCTGTACCATACAGTTTTGACCCTCTATATCTGACATCCATGGCCATAGGAAACTATTGCCTATGATTATTTACTTCTAGCTTTTCCTTTAGCTAGCCCATTTTCTAATAATCCTGCTTGCTTTGTAGGACTGAATTCACCTACTCTCTCTGCACCCATTATGGAGCTGTATGTCTGCTCTTCTCTGGTGGTCCACAACCTGTCTGCTCTTGGAGCCCAAAAGAGAACTCTCATTAGCTGCCTGATCCTGAGTGAAACTAACTTTGGGCATTGTAATTTTAGTGATTTCTCTGTGAACCTTGGTTCTGTGTCTTGATATTAGGTCTCTTTATACACAAGAACCAGATGTTTGTTGTCTTCTGATGCCAAGCCTCCTGGCCAAGGTTTTATAGGAACATATTAAGTGAACTGAGTATAAGGCTGCTTTTGACAAGAAGGGCCTATCATCTCTAATTGTTGAGCATCAGCATATAAAGGGAGACTGAGCCAAAAGCTATATTACAAGTGGCAACTCCTTAGTTCAGAAGGGTATGTGAACTCAAGAGGAACTGTGTGTTTCTTTGTGTCCCTCTCCATTTTGTGCCTAGATACTCCACTATGAGCTACTGGCCATTCGTGATGCCTGCATCAAACTGGAAAAGGACTACCAGCCTGGAATCACTTATATTGTGGTGCAGAAACGCCATCACACCCGCCTTTTCTGTGCTGACAAGAATGAGCGAGTGAGTGAGGGACTGAGACCTCCCATCCCCTCCTTCTGTCTCCCTTATCTTAATAGAGAAGAAGCCCTTGAGATAAAGGCTGGGGATTTAGTCCTTGTCCTGTCCATCCTCCCTGGCCCCTTCCCTCCTCCTAGCTCTTGTGGTCCTTCCTCTACCACTGCCTTCACTAGTGTCCACCTCCTCCCCTCCTTCCCTTATACTTCCTTTCCCTCCTCCTAGCTCCCTGGCCTAGACCCCATATATAGACCAGCTCCCAGAGAAGGGAAAGGGAACTACCATTTATTGAACTCCTCCTATGTGCCAGATACTGTACAAGGCGTCTTCCTCACAGCAACCCTGTGAGGTAGGTATTATTATTATCTCCAGTTTAACCTCAGAAAGGTTAAATGACTTGCTAAGATCATACAGCTAATAGGACTTGAACATAGGTCTGTGTGACTTTAGAAGCATATTATTTTAAGATTCAGTACCCTCTGGGAATAGCAACTTTGGCTTTGTTCTTGGGATTTTGGTGAAGTCAGAGTAGAATTGAGCCAGGGTCCTAGTTAGGGCCAGGCAGGTCTTGGGATCTTGGTTGTGTTTGTCTCTATACAGATTGGGAAGAGTGGTAACATCCCAGCTGGGACCACAGTGGACACCAACATCACCCACCCATTTGAGTTTGACTTCTATCTGTGCAGCCATGCAGGCATCCAGGTAGCTGGGCTATATCTTGGGGTTCCAATGGGTCAAAGATGAATTGTTTATTCACATTGCCTCTAGAATATATCAGTCATCACTGAATGACATCCAAATTATGTTCGTTTGCTTTGTTTTGTTTTGTTTTGTTTTGAGGTGGAGTCTTGTTCTGTCCCCCAGGCTGGAGTGCAGTGGCACACTCTCAGCTAACTGCAAACTCTGCCTCCTGGGTTTAAGCGGTCCTCCTGCCTTCCTGCCTCAGCCTCCAAAGTAGCTGGGATTACAAGCATGCGCCACCATGCCCAGCTAATTTTTTTTTTTTTTTTTTTTTTTTGAGACAAGAGTCTCGCTCTGTCGCCCAGGCTGGAGTGCAGTGGCGCGATCTCGGCTTACTGGAAGCTCTACCTCCCGGGTTCACGCCATTCTCCTGCCTCAGCCTCCCGAGTAGCTGGGACTACAGGCGCCCGCCACCACGCCCGGCTAATTTTTTTTGTAGTTTTAGTAGAGACGGGGTTTCACCGTGTTAGCCAGGATGGTCTCGATCTCCTGATCTCATGATCCGCCCGTCTCGGCCTCCCAAAGTGCTGGGATTACAGGCGTGAGCCACTGCACCCGGCCTAATTTTTGTATTTTTAGTAGAGACAGGGTTTCACCATTTTGGCCCCGCTGGTCTTGAACTCCTGACCTCAAGTGATCCACCCGCCTTGGCCTCCCAAAGTGCTGGGATTACAGGCATGAGCCATTGTTCCCAGCCAGGACTGCTCTCTTAATAAGCCCTGAGTACACTTGCAGGTTGCCTTTAAAAAGAGTGCTTTATGACATTGGTAGTTTTGCGTCTGCCTGTTCATGGGTGAATTATCTACCCAGCCGTATTCTTAATAGTGATCCTGTTCCCCTATTATCAGCCATCTCCTCTGCTCAGCCTGGGACCCTCATCTTCCTATCTTCCCAGGGCACCAGCCGACCATCCCATTACTATGTTCTTTGGGATGACAACCGTTTCACAGCGGATGAGCTCCAGATCCTGACGTACCAGCTGTGCCACACTTACGTACGATGCACACGCTCTGTCTCTATCCCAGCACCTGCCTACTATGCCCGCCTGGTGGCTTTCCGGGCACGATACCACCTGGTGGACAAGGAGCATGACAGGTGAGACCTGGGATCAGGTTGGCCTCCTTTTTGCTTCAGCCTGTTGTGCCAGATCTTCTCAACTTTCCTTGGGTAGAAGGAAAGGAGTGCTGTCCAATTTGGTGTCATTGGGCTCGTCTGCCCAATCCTGGGTTGGGGTTTTCTCTTAAGTTGGTATGGGAATTGGCATCCCAGGGCTGGGTGAGGGAATTAGCAGCAGCTCAGTTCACCAGGAAGGACTTCTTTCATTTTTTCCTTTTCAGTGGAGAGGGGAGCCACATATCGGGGCAAAGCAATGGGCGGGACCCCCAGGCCCTGGCCAAAGCCGTGCAGGTTCATCAGGATACTCTGCGCACCATGTACTTCGCTTGAAGGCAGAACGCTGTTACCTCACTGGATAGAAGAAAGCTTTCCAAGCCCCAGGAGCTGTGCCACCCAAATCCAGAGGAAGCAAGGAGGAGGGAGGTGGGGTAGGGAGGAGTGTAGGACGCCTTGTTTCCTTCTGTAGAGGTGGTGTAAGAGTGGGGAACAGGGCCAGCAAGACAGACCACCAGCCAGAAATCTCTGATATCAACCTCATGTCCCCCACCCCTCACCCCATCTTGTCACATCTGGCCCTGACCCCAATGGACCAAAAGGGGCAGCACTGGTGCCCACCATACACACAGGTGTCTCATGTGACTCACAGTGCTAAAGACTCATGCTTGACAGCTTGGTAAGGTCAACTCTGTAGCCCTGCAGACAAAAGCTGGTTAGGTTTGGGTTTGATACTTTAGATGGGAAAGTGAGGGGCTTGAGAAAGTGGGTGGGAGGAGGGAAGGATTTTTTAGGAGCCTTAATCAGAAAAGGACTAGATTTGTTTAAGAAGAAAAATGAAACCAGACCCAGATCAATATTTTAGGATACTAGATGTTTTAATGGGTTCAGAATCCAGTTTGTAGGAAGATTTTTTAATGGTTTTGGTTGCTCCTCCCCCAGCTGCCACCCCCCGTTCCCCTTGTCCCTCTCTGTCCACATTTTCTGCCCCACCTTACTTCTCCTCCCTGACAGACATCCAGCCCCTAGTAATACTTAAGGCACTATGGCACTTAGCTTTGAAGTGACACGACCCTGTCTTCCTTCCGCCCGCTGGTGGGTAACCAGTGCCTTCCCTGTAACGGTAATGCTGCAGAACTGCAACCTTTTGTACCTTTCTTTGGGGAATGGGGTGGGGGTGGGAGAGGAGGTAGATGGGGAAGAAATACCCCAGACCCAACAAACCTCCAGCCAGAAAGCCAGCTATTTTGCATTTGAAGGAATCAACTTCCTCATTCATTGAGCTTTTTAAAAGATCACAACCTCAAGATGGTTAAAATCCATTGACATTTGCACTTTCAAACATGACAAGTCTTGGAGCTGCTGAGATGACTGGCCCCTGGCCTTTCCACTTATGCCTCCTTTTCTCCTTGTTCCTCCTACCTCCCACCCCACCCAGGTCTGGAGTTACTTTCATAGCATTTTTCACTCTTGGCTTCTTTTCTCCCTTGATGGTCAAGTCTCTTGTGTTTCAATATTTCTTAACTGGGGTGTCTTATAACAAAAAACTCTTAGGTCTAAAATGAGAAAAAAGAGAGAAAACAAAATGTTATTTTTATACCATAACTTGAGTGTATTGCCAAAATTTGGAAATCCTTCCCATGCCTGATGAGTTTATATCCCGGAAACATTGAGCCATCAGAATGAACTGTGTACCTGATTTGTTCTCTGACCTGGCTAGGTAGGGAGGGGGTGGTTATCACCCCAAGATGGGGTCCGGGCTCCATCCTTCCTCTGTGCAGATAATACCTTTCTCTTGCTGTAGCCTCCCTCCTCTGCACTGTCCTGCACTCTTTCTTGCAAGTGCATCTTTTTCCTTCCTCTGGACTGTCCTCTGACCCTTTGGCTCATCCTAGATTCCAGTGTGTCCTGTGGACAGGCTGGGGAATTTTGCTGCTTCCTATTGCTTCTGTTTACACAAATGAATTTTTCCTGGTTTCCCACTAGGGCATGTGAGTGGGTGGCATGAGCTTTTTTTTTTCTTTTTGTCTTGAGACATGGGGTTTGGCTGTCTTGCAGGACTGGAGTAGGTGGTGGTTCTAGCTTGGTCTCTGCTGGCCTTGAAGCAAGCATCCCCCCCTGCCCCTTTTCCTTGACTGTTCATTTTTTTCCTGCCCCACCGCTTGGGATGGGGAGTTGCAACTTCAGTGTGGAATTTCCTCTTTTTGAGGAGCCTGGGTTTGGATCTATCTGATCTGGTGATGAAGCCATGATTACTTTAGACCTAGCCCAGGCTTGGAGGCCAGCTGGAGGAAGGAGGGTCTAAATCCTGGCCTATAGAGTTAGAACTACTGTTTCCTCAGCTGCCCTTGTATGACCGGGATTTGCTATGCAAAACAATCTGTCCCAGGTTCTGTTCCGGTTGGCTACATTGTTCAGCAACTCACAAAACGTAGCACAAACATTCATTATGGAGAAAGCATCAGGACTGTTGAGTAACTCCTCCTTTTTACTTTTTTCCTGCTGGCTACAGCATGGGGTGCCCTATAGGCACAAGCCCAGCTGAAGAACAGAATGGAGGGCTCTGGGAGGAGGCAGCTCACTGGAGAGCCTACATTCCTTACACAAGTGCCTAAAGAGAGTGATGCTAACACTCCATCTGCCCTGTCCATTGCCTTCATATACAGTCTACTTCGTGTTCTGTCACCCTTTGGGGAGGGGAGCTCTTCTGGGACAGTGGGCTCTGCATGTTCTCTACTTGGGTACATTTTGGGGCTAGGATCAGGGCACTATTCCTGGAGGGTCCAGTCATTCACCAGCATTTGCAAATGTCCATAGGGAGCAGGTAGCAGCCTCTACTCCCAGCAACAAGTTTGTGTTCTCTCCTTTTCTCTCTTTGCCTCACTCTCTCCAGTTGGTTATCAGCTAGGGCTTGAAATGCATTTTTAGCCTTTTGGCATGGCATATGCCATTCAAGAAATAAAAAAGCAAGAGAATCAGCTTTGGGCAATGACAAGAAATGACTTCTTACTCTGATTTTTTTGTAAAAAAATAATTTTTGAGACTTGAAAAATAACCCTGACCTTGAGGATTATTCTTGTTTGAAAGGTGGTGGATGCAGATGGAGAAGTGGTGTTGGCAGCAAGCTTTGGCTCATGTGGATTTGGTTTAAGTGGTGCTTCTTACCCAAGCTTCAAGGAAGTGCTTGGGGGACCCCCAGCCTCATCCTCTTAGATGGGTCTCTTTCTCCCTTTGTACCACTGTTTTGCCTTCCTTTTCCTCTTCTCTTTTTCCCTGGCTTCCTTTCCCTTTTCTACTATTCACTCTGCTTGCTTGCTGGCCGGCCTGCCTGCCTGCCTGCCTGCCTGCCTATGTGATGATGAAATCTCTGCATGGCTGCAATGATCCCACTGTTAACTGGCAAGGTCAGGCTTAGCTCCTTGACTGCAGACGACCAAGAACCTGTTCCCCAAGCCCAGAGATGTTCACCTGGGCTGGACTGCCCTCAAGCTTATACTAGAGAAGAGCAACTGACCTGCTCAACTTGTGTGAAGTCAGGAGGGTTTCTGGCATTTTCCATACCTGTCCACTCCTTGGAGCTGGTTTCTCTCATTGCTTTTACTAAATCTGGTTCTTTTTCTCTTTACCTGGGACCTGCCTTTTCTGTGATTGTCTTAGGGTTGAGCTACTTGGGTATCCTGGGATTGAGTGTTAGGGGATGGACATAAGGGAAAGAGTGATGAGAAGAGAATGGAGAGAATTTGAATAAAAGGTGGGAAAGGAGAGAGCCCTGTTCTTTGATTGTTTATCCAGTCCAACCTGATCCATTAGGGATTGAGGTGCTACACTGGCCTCCAGGGATAAGCCTGGGGCTATTGTTGCTGGGAACTTAGACTTAACATAAAGCCGAAGAAGAAGGTACCTAGAATTTTGAAACTTACCTAAAAAGCTCCTAATGCCCACCTGCTAGATAGCTTCTCTGTGGCCTCCTATTTAGCTAAGCAGCAGTGTTTTTGGATACTTCTCTTCTGTTTGTGAATAAGGCCAGCACTCAAGATGGGCAGACAAGGGCATACTATTAGCTGGCCCATAGGATATCTGTAAGGCTGGTGGGACAATTTTGGACCTGGAATCCTGTGAACTAACAAGGTTGGAAGTTTCTTCCCCTTCAGGGTAGAAAAATCATCTCAAACTAGCCAAAAGGCAGTTTTGGAAACTACATTGGGGGAAGTTATTTTTATTTATATATGGGGCCTAGGCCAATCCAGGATGGTAGCTGGAATACCTTCCTTCTTAAAATCTGATCATGGCAGGGATATGCAGGGCACTTTTTACTATTTGGCCTTCTAAGCAGATTGGGAAGGAGGTATTTTCTGGTTTTCTCTTTCCTCCAACTTAATAGGACTTGCCTTCTCCCTGAGCAGGGAGAGAGGCTGGGTTGGTGCTCTCCCCTTACTCTACTCATACTGACTTAGAACCTCTGGCTGCTGTTTGGGCATCCAAGAAAGGGAGGGGAAGGAATGAGCTAAAAACAAAACAGAATGAGGTGGGAAAGGGAGATTTCCTTCTCTACAGAGGAAAATAGGAAACCCTCCAAGAATTGTGCAAGTAAAGACATTCGTCAAATGCACTGAGTCCCTTGGTGTAGTAGCAATAAGGAAAAATGAAATTACTTTCCTGTGCACACAGTCCAGCCTAATTGGTGCGTGATGTTGCACTTAGCAGCCATGTGGTGGGCATGTGTGACTACTCTGGGTTTCACTTTAGTTTCTAAACTTTTTATCCCTCTCAAGTCCAGCATGGATGGGGAAATGTCTCTGGATCCCCACAGCTGTGTACTTGTTTGCATTTGTTTCCCTTTGAGACTTGTGTTTGTGTCCTGCTTTGAGCTGTACCTTGTCCAGTCCATCGTGAAACTATCCCAGCAGCTGTAATGTACAGTTCCTTCTGAAGCAAGCAACAGAAGCAGCAGCAGCAGCAGCAGCAGCAGCAGCACAATTCTGTGTTTTATAAAGACAACAGTGGCTTCTATTTCTGAAGTGCGGTCTTTCTCTTTTTTTCCTACCAGCAAAACAAACTTTTGGGACTGATTACATCTCTAATAGATTTTAGGTGAGAATAATACTGTAGATTGTTATGCAGAAATACTTCACAGGGCCTCCATTTATTCTTCATTCAACAAACATGCAAAGCACTGTGCCAGCAGTATTTTGGGGAGGGCAGGCACAATTCAAAATGAGGAAAATAGTGTCTGTCTCATTAAGGGAATTAAGTTTGGTGGGGGATATGACTAGCCAACCGGTCCCCTGGCATAGGAGAAAGATAATGAGGGAGTAGAATAAGACTATAGCAACGAATATAGGGAGGAAGGGACAGATTTGAGAGACAAGAGATAGAATTAGTAGGACTCGATGGCTGGTGGGAGAAGACAGGAGTAGAAGTTAGCTCCCAGGTTTCTCCTTGAGCATAGGAGTGTGTTGGGACATTCTGCCAGTCAAGATGGGGGTGGCAGGGGGAGACTGTAGAAGGAAGGTGGGGAGTTTTTTGAAGAAAGACAATGTTGTATAGACTGAGTTTTGAGGGTTTTTGGGGGCAATAAGGGTAAGGTGTCCAGTAAACACAGGTTGGTGCTCAGGTAAGACTGTAAAACTGCATTTATAGATACGGGAGTCATATAGATGGTAGTTAAAGCCATAGGCATGAACAAGTTAGCTTAGAAAAAGAGAAGAGAAACATAATATACAACCCCCTAAGAAACTCAGTTTAAAGGATGGGGCGAGGAAGCAGATCTTAAGGTGACAGATCACTGGTAGAAAGCTTGTGGGTTTTTTGTTTCTTTGTTTAACCAGTTTAGTGAGGTAGGAGAAGAAATCAGAGTAGAAGTTTCATGAAGGGTGTGATTAACAACATGAACTGCTGCAGAGAAGGAGTTCTTTTTTTTCTGTGTGTTTTACCTTTCTACTCTCCATCTGTTGGGGATCTTATAACTCTATAACTTACTTAGGTTATTCTCCAGTATTTCTTGAAAATGAGCATTGGAAAAACCAATTCTAAAATGGCTAAGACTAGGACTTTCAAGTTCCCCACAACTACCACCAATTAGGAGATAATTGTAAAAGAATAAACAAAACCTAATTTTGTTCCTAGCCAATATTATAAACTGTGTTCCAGTGTACTAGATAATAGTAGAATACTATATTTATTTCCATAACTTGTCTTCTTTAGAGCCTGTGAACTCCTAGGAGCAGAAGCTATATTCTCTTCATTTTTGTCATCTCAGGGTCATGGCATATACCAACGGATCAGTATGTGCAAATAGAATTGAAATAGGCTAGTAGTCTGTAGTTTATGAGTATGGGCTGGGTGGGCAGCGGATCAAGAAGTGATAGGAGTACACAGGATGAACTCAGAATTCCTGAAATCTTCAGGTAAGCAGATACTTAACCAGATTATCATTGTCTTTTCCCACTCACCCCAAATTGGAGGTTTTATGGTTTTGTACTTTAAGCTGGTGGTATAATTGTCAAGCATGTAAATTCTGGCATTCTTCCTGGTACTGCTAGAGCATTGTTATTTCAATGCATGGGGGTAAGAAGGCTCAGAGAAGGATTCTGGCAGAGGGCCCAGTGAGAAATCATCAGTGGTAGCCAGTGTGTACATACGTGGACCTAACATTCCTCTGGAGGCCAAGTGTTGTGAATTGGCCTGTGGCTATCACCTGGCAGACTCCCTTGGGAAAAAGCCAGCCAGCCCCATGCTGCTTTTCAGCAGCAAGGGTTAGGGAGGTTGGTTGAACTTGAAGAGCAGAATAGACATGGAGCAGATTTTGCCCAGTTGAAGTAAGACAAATTTATGACCCCGAGTGAGGCAGAAATAAAGTACTTAGCAGGGGGAATGGGAGGATGATGATTATGGCAAATTTTGCTATAACCTTTAGTTTTAGAAAAGATTGATACTGAAAAGCCTTCAGGATTTGCCTGTGGTTGCTACTCAAGTTAAAAAAGACTGGGAGCCTGCATTGTTTGGTCCTGGAGCTCAAGGTTTTCAGTGAAGGCTTGTCCTGGCACCTCTGGGCATTCCTTTTCATTACTAGTTGAGCACCCTTCCTTCTGCTCTGTCAGTTGGCAAAATACTCTGGAGCACATTCTGGACTAGCAGTTGCCTTGAGGTAGTCAGGCTGGGTATTTGGTATCTCTTGGTGTAGCAGATCCCAGAATCTCATGGCAATTTGGATTTGGTGGCTAAAAGAAAGAGTTAGTGCAAGGAAAAGACTAGTTGGAAGTTCTGAGTCTGGGCCATCCTTAAGCTGCTGTCTACTGCTTGAATGGGAAGTAATGTTGAATTGGAAAATTAGCTCACCTTTTTTGTTTCTAGCTTTGCAGACATTTATTCCTGATGATAGGCTGAGAAATGCCTAGGCAGGCTTAGAAGGCACACAGAGCATGACAGAAGTACTCCGTCAAAGCAGCTGTGTCAAGAAGGAAGAGCTGGAAAAGTGGATTTGCTGGGGAATTAGGTGCATTTAGTTTTCCACTTAGGCACAAACTGCCTTCTCCAGTATATCATAGCATGGTTTTTTAGGCCTTTGTGGCTTACCCTGCAGGAACATACTATCCTGTTGTTCTGGACTGTAGCACCTTCACCACCATCCTCTTAGCAATGGTTTTTTGTTTGGGAGTTTTTGTGTTTTTTTTGGACAAAGTATAATATTGAGGGACCTTTTTAGGGAGCCTTTGATCCTTTGTCCCCATTTTCCAAAGGCAGGGAACTTTCCTCTTAAGAGACAGTGGGAACTTTTAGCCAGGTTTTTGGAAAAGGCCTGTGAGCTATTAATGAGAGTGAGCTGCAAAAGGAGGAAGGGTTTGTTTGGGTGCTTTGAAGTACTTGGCTAGGTGTTTTCTACAGTATCTTATACAATTGCATCTTAAAGTATCTTTACATGCAAAATAGTTTATCAGTTATCTTCAATTGCATATTACAAAATTCTGATTAAATTTTTCTTAAATAGGAAAACTATCATTTCATATGACAAGAAAGCCTAATTTAATGTTACTCCAAGGTTAGTTAATTCAGTGGCTCAGTGATAAGACCAAAGAATTAGTTTCTTGAAATCTTTTTGGTCTGCCATCCTCCATGTTGTTTATCCTCACGCCAGTTCGCCTCATGGTCCCAATATGGCTACTGTAATTCCGGGAAGGAAATGCTGACAGAACCATGCCTGGCAAAAGAGACAAATTTTTCCGTGTCCTTCTAAAGCAAGGAAGTCTTTTCCTGGAAGCTCCAGCAGATCCGGCCTCATGGCTTTGCTAGAAATGGGTCATCTCACTCCTGTCATTGGCAAAGCAAGTAAGATCATCCATCATGAGTGGCTTAGATGAATGAATTATCCTTTGAGTCACGTAGACTAGAAAGTCCAGTCATGTCTACCAGCAAGAAAGGAGATAAGGGCTATTGGATAAGCAGCGTCTGGTCTCAAAGGTACTTCAGCTTTTACAGATGAGAAACATGAATCTGAATGACTTTCCTAGGCTCACAGCAAGAGAGGGCCTTCAGTGTTAGCTGTATCTGTCCCTAAAGCCCAAGTTTTATATTGTATCTTGCTACAGTGTAAAGTAACTTACTTTCTACCTTGTGGAAACTGATGGTCTAGGAGAAGAGATTTGAACTCCGGTGCCCAGGTGACTCTAATCTTGGCCCATGTGAGAAGATTCTACTGAGTTGCTGTCCTCATCCAGTGATGTTTCTTGTCTCACACAAGAAGCCTAGGAGTAGAAAGTCCTAAGTGGAGTAGAATAATAGTGGCAGCAGGGAGGGAAGTGTGCACGGTGTGTCCCTGAGCCTGACTTACTGGGCAGGAACTTGGCGCTAAAGTGGCAGCTGGCCACCCTGTCTTTCCTGCATGCACTGAGTATTTGGTAGCTGATTATGCCTTTCCTTAGTGACCAGTGATATTGATCATCTTTTCATGTGCTTAGTTACTATCCCCATATCTTTGTTGTTCACATCTTTTACCCATCGTATTTGTTGTTTTTGAGACAGTGTCTCACTCTGTCACCCAGGCTGGAGTGCAGTGGCACGATCACGGCTCACTGCAGTTTCTGCTTCCTGGTCTCAAGCAGTCCTCCCACCTCAGCCTTCTGAGTAGCTGGGCTTACAGGCACACACTACCATGCTCAGCTAATTTAAAAAAAAAAAAAAAAATTTTTTTTGTAGCAGTTCGGTCTGATTATTATTGCCCAGGCTGGCCTCTCTCAGCTTCAAGCTATCTTCCCGCCTCGGCCTTCCAAAGTGCCGGAATTACAGGCATAAGCCACTGGGCGCAGCCTCTTTTACCTGTTTCAAAATTGAGTTTTATTGAGTTGTAAGAGTTCTTTATTCATTTTAAACACAAGTCCGTTGTTGGTTATATCTTTTACATCTATTTTTCCCAGTCTGTGGCTTGCCTTTTCATTTTGAAGAGCAAAAGTTTAAAATTTTGTGAATTTATTAAAGCTCCATTTGTTGCTTTTTTCTTTTCTAGTTTATACTTTTGTGTCATATTTTAGGAAACTTTGCACTGGGTATTTGATGGCTCCTGAGGAGGTTCAACTTTCAGAGGGCACTGATTTCTCTGCACCTGAGATTTTGTACTATTTCTGTATTTCTTTCTTCTTAAAGAACAGCCAGTGTCACCAGGTATGAGGGCAGAGTTTTAGCTTGTTTGCTGAGCCCCATTCTTGAAGCTTATTTATTTATTCATCTATCTATCCATCCATCAATCCAACAAATATACTGAATGCTGCTGTGTGCCAGGCACTGGCACTGTTCTAGGTACTGGGGCAATGGGAGTTAAGGTAATACCCAATGACCCTGCTCTGTACCCTTAAGAGCAGACTCAGTTGGGAATGAGTTATCCAAAAATAGGGTGTACATGTAGTCAGGAGAGAGCCTCATACAGCTTTGCCTTTGGCAGAATCCTTCAAACCTCTTTGTCTTCCTACTTCTTGATATTACAAATCATGAGCCTTTCATATGCGTTCACTCTAAAGAGGTGGGTTCCTGGATAGCAGAAGTAGATAGAAAGGCATCACTGACATTTATTGAGATGGAGTGAATCAGAGGGTGTAAATTCTGCTCCATCAATGTCGAAAAAGACTAGCCGATCTCAAGGGTTCATCACTGTCACCATGTCTATTGTCTATTCTGGAAGAAGCTGAAGAAGTCTGCCTTTGTTTAGGGAACCAGTTCCAGAATCAGAGGGGTTGAGGATATAAAAGACCCTTGCACAAGAGTTGGTATTTACCCTGTCAGATGCTGCTACCAAGATTTGGATTGTGTACAGTCGAGGATTAAAAATGACTTTTAAGATGCAGTGTTTCATCTGGTGACATTTAATTTGATATTTTAAAATTGGGGAGGGTATTTTCAGCCACGGGGGTAGGGATGTGAAGGAAGCCGAAAGAAAGACAGAATTGGAGTCAGATGTGGTTTTGAGTCCCATACATTTATTAAGTGTTTAATATTATATGGTAAGTGCTTTAAAATGGTAAATACTTCTGTTATTCACTAAAATTTGAGGAGGGTTTCCTCTGTGCTTTATGTACATTCCCTAACCTTACAACTGTGTAAGGTAAATACTGTTCTCTCAATTTTTCAGATAAGAAAATTGAAGCCCAAAGAGATCAAGTGACTGATCCAAAGTCCCACAGTGAGGGGAACTGAAGATAGGATATTGTTTCTCCTTTTCCTCTTTAAAAAATTATTTTGATTAAAAAAAAAAACAACCGTATTACTGAAGCATAAGGACATGGGGAGAAATTATGAATCATTCCTCAGCCTGAATAAAATAGTATCATGCTTCATTAAGGAAACAAATATTTATTAGGGACCTACTATTTGCCTGACATTCAAGTGGGGTGGGGGGCACACAAGTAGTAAATAACAGACTGGGCAAAGGGCTACCAAGGCAATACTGTAGTAGACTAACAGGTGCCCCACCATGGGTGGTCCGGAAAAGGCGTCTCAGATGTCTTCCGTTGAGACGTAAAAAGAAACTGTAGGGTAGGGAGTAAAGGGAGGGTGGAGAGGAAAGAGAGGGTTCCTGGCCAAGGGAACCAAAAGCAGAGAAGCCCCAAGTCAGAAAAAAGCAGCGCTTGGCCCGTTGGGGGAATTGGAAGCCGAGCAGTACAGCTGTAGCACAGGCGGGGCCCGTTTACGCCGTGCGTTTTCACCCTGGAAAGGAGTTTAGGTTTTCCAAGTGTGACGAGGCGCTATTAAAGAGTTTTAAACATGGAAATTACTCGATCTGTTTGTGTAGTGTCCTGTTCGTTAGTCATCTTTTTCCAAACTATAACACATTTTTTTTTAATCCTAAAAATGGTCGTTAAAGCAGTCTAGGAGTTAGGTCAATTGCGGTGGTCACTTGACCGCCTGTGAGGAGGCGGCGCGTGGGGCGGCTCGGACTGGGCGTGGCGGGGGCTCAGGAAGGAGGGTGGCCCTACCCCAGCGGTCTCGGCTCGGGGCCTCCGCGGCAGGCTTGGGTCCTTCACCCGCCAGCTCCAGGTAGGCTACTCCTCAGGTAAGCCCCGCCGCCAGCCGCGACGTCGTCGCAGACAGGTACCGCCCCCACTCGTGCGGCATGAGGAGTCCTGCCCCTTCGGGTTGTCTCCAGCCGGCACTGCCACGCCGGGGACGGCCGAGCCCGCCGCATGTGGCCCGGCTCCCGGACACCTCCCCGGCGTCCTCCGCGCCGGCCGCTCCCGCCCCGACGTCGCTCAGGCACGGCTCGGGGCCCAGAGGCGAGGCGAGGACGCCGGGCAAGCCAGGCAGCGGAACTGACGCCGGCGGGCTTCCGGGGCGGCCCCGGGCAGGTCGGCGGCGGTGGCCCGCAGTCGTGGAGGAGCGGTGGGAGCGTCGGCGGCCGCGGGCGATGCAACTTCCGGACGGGACTCCCCTGTGTCCGCTCCTCACGTCTCCCCTTCCTCTCGCCTAGTCCCGTGCCGTTTTCCGTCCGCGACTCTTCCGGCCCAGAGCTTTTGGAGTGCGGTTGCTCAGGGGAAGCCGTCGCCGCCCCCGCCTCGGGGTCGAGTGAGAGTGTCCGTCGCGCGGCGTCGCCCCCCGGGCCGCCTCCTTGCCCCCAGTGGCGGGCTCCGTTCTCCCTCGAAGCACTCCCCCCAGCTCCATGAATGGAAATCGGCTCCGCAGGTGAGTCAGAGTCTCTGGGCCAGGTAGGGAGTGTCACCAAGCTACTGTCCTCTGAGTCTCCCTGCTCCTCCCGCCCGGCCCAGGTGCGCGAGGTGAGCGTCGGGCGGGCATCCCCTGGTCTCCCGCCCCTCGCCCTGCTCCCCTGCGATCTCCCCGCAGCCCAGCCGCAGTTCCCCGGGGGCCCCTGAGTCGGCGAAACTGCGAGGCGGGGAAACGCTTGGAGGATTTAAGTTTGGGGTTATCTAAGCGGTATTACTCTTTGCTGGAGTACCCTTTTTCTAGACTTTAGAATGGTTTGCCATTGTCTAGTTGGAGTTCTTGTCCTTTAGCCAGTTTGTGTGCTCCGTAGAGGCTGGGCAGCCAGCCAGCTCCCTTACCTACCTCTTAGGGTAGTTGTGAAGATACACTGAGATAACGGATAACTTCAAATTAAGTTCGAAGGAGGTGTTGGTGCAATATTAAATTCAACATGGCATTGCTCCCACCCTCGAGTTCTTTTCTGTTGTTTGTGGCAGCATGGTAGATAGTTTCTGAGGAGCTTGGAAATGTCATAGCAGCCTGGATCACTGCTTATACGAGGAGGTGGATCTTAAAATTGCTGACAGCATTTTTTGTTTCATTCTCTATTCCCTAGAAAAGTAGTTGTCATATTCCTGGAAATTTGGAATTTAAGAAAACTGCTTTATCTTCGCGGGGAAGAAAGCAGTCTTGCAGTCGTAAGAGAAAATTGCAACATGGATAGTACTTGTCCTTAAAAAAGGAAAAGTACTCTTTATGGTTCTAAAGTAATTAATTCAGAGACAGAAAGGTGTTGCATAACGGTTTGCCTAACAAGTGATCATGCTTGGCATTTTAAATTTGAAAGCATGCTTCAGACGATCACAAGTTCGTAAATTAATTTTCAAAATATTTGCGAGACTGTCTTGTTACTAATGGTGTTACAAGTTCCTGAATTCCATATCTCTTTTTGCCAATTTGATATAAGAAAAACTTATGTAAAAGAAACCAGTGACATAATGATAGCCAAGAACTTTGTTGAATAGATTGAGTATTAAGTGTCAAATGGATGCAAAACAGCACTCAAACTGGGGAAGTGAGATGGGGAGAGTTAAAAAATTTTTTTTAAACAAATTTTGTTACATGGAAGTTTCTCTAATCAATTTCTACTATATCTCTTTTTCATGCTCCATTGTTTCGCCTTGCCCCATATCGTCTTAAAAACGGAAAGTCTGTCTGGATTGTGAAAAGATTTAGATTCTTATTCAGTTTTGATTTGTGTATTTCTGAAACTGTCCTGCCCTTTTTTTAAAAATTACCATACTGCTGTTTTACTGTATAGGAAATGTGATTATTTGGCACCGTAGGTGATCTTTGTACATAACTGTCCTGTTGTCAAGTCTGGAAAACAAATCATGAAAGTCAGACCCTTTATTAATCGTCCTAAAACTTTTAAAGATATTTCAAAAAAGTTTTAAAGTTTTTGCTTTATCTTCTTAGGGTTTTTCATATGATATTGTGCCCATATATATGGACATTGTCTTAGAAAACATTTGTTAACATCAAACCACCTAGTCAGCTAGTACAACTAGCCAAGTACGGCTCAGAAAATACATTTTACCTCTTCTTTTTTGGGTGTCCCGTTGCTGAAATAGATACCCATTTAGCTGTCTTCACATTTGGGCAAGTGTGTAGTTAGATTATCAACTATATGCTTGGGTCTCTTGAAAAGTAAAGTTTTTTCTTCAGTACAGTTTATACATGATTGAAGGTAGCCTAATGAAGATAAGCTATACTTTGGCTCAAGATTGACGTTATCAAAAACAAAATTTTCATTATTCCTGAGACTTATATATAATTGGTATGCTTAGTGTAAAGTTGAAAGCATAGCTGTGCAACTAAATTTTAAATCCATAATTTAGGCTGGGCGTGGTGGTTCATGCCTGTACTTTGGGAGGCTGAGGAAGGATGATCCCTTGAGCCCAGCAGTTGGAGACCAGCCTAGGTAACATAGTGAGACCTGCCTTTCCAAAAAGCAGAAAAATTAGGCGAGAACTGTGGCACATGTCTGTAGTCCCAGCTACTTGAGAGGCTGAGGCAGAATGGATTGAGCCCAGGAGGCAGAGATTGCAGTGAGCTATGATCGCGCCACTGCACTCCAGCCTAGGTGACAGAGCAAGACCCTGTCTCAAAAAAAAAAAAAATTCATAATTTGACATATATTTCGATTTTAAACTTTTAGTATAAATGTTCTCAAAAAGTCTATTGAGTCAATATTGAATCTTGGCTCTCCAGTTCTATCATAAGTTTTTCTTTTGTGTGGAGATTCTCAGGAATCATCTTGTGATAGGATATTTTAAATTCCAGTTGTTCGGTGGATACACAGAAAACTGTTAAATTTATTTACATTAGGGAACCTCGAATACAAATACCATATAAGTTAGTATTCGTTCTTTCATATGAAATATTTTGAATGCTTTTTAAGGATATCTTGTGCAATCTACTGATTTAGTACCATCAGAACTTTGATTTAACAAGAAAAGGCTCAATTAGTTAAAAATTAATCAACAGTTTAACGTCTGTGTCTGTGACTAGTTAGGAGAACATCTGGTGAAACACCATTTTCTGTGGTCTAATTACTGCTGAACTAAGAGTATAGGTTGTGTTTCAGTTCTAAATAAGATGGAAATAGGGAGCGGCAGAGATGCTTGATGATATTACTTCTCCTGAGTACTCATTTTTTAGGTCCATACTATTCTAGTCTGTGTTTTCAGATAATGTTAGACTAGCGTTTAGGACAGAGGAACTACACTTTATAATGGAAGAAAAACATTTACTTTTACCTTAAATTAATGACATGCAAATTGTTTGATGTTTGGTGGAAGTTTTATACAGTCTTGCAAAAGTGAATAGACTGTTTCTTTCTTATTTGTACTTTTAAATTTGTGTCTTAAAATAGTTGTTTTAGAGTTCTGTGCTTATTTAATAATAAAAGTTTTAAAAAAGTTATTTGGAACCAAGTTCCAAAGGAATAAAAGTTGCATATATGGGAAGCTAGAATTAATTCAAGATTGGGATATGAATGATGTAGATAAAAATTATGGGTTAAAAATACCTACTAAAATATATAATGCCATCAGGGTCCAAATTTACCATTTAAAACAATCTTCT